TAATATATAAGGAACTCACACAACTGAACAATAAAACAATAAAACAGCCCAATCAAAAAATGGGCAGAGGATATGAACAGATGTTTTTCCAAAGAAGATATACAGATGGCCAATAAACGCATGAAAAGCTGTTCAACATCACTAACCATCAGGGAAATGTAAATCAAAACTACACTAAGATACCACCTTACACCTGTTAAAATGGATATAATCACTAAGACTAAAAATAAATGTTGGAGAGGGTGTGGAGAAAAGGAAATCCTCACACACTGCTGGTGGAGTGCAAACTGTTGCAGCCACTATGGAAAACAGTATGGAGATTCCTCAAAAAACTAAAAATAGAACTACCATATGACCCAGCTATCCCACTACTGGGTTTCTACCCAAACAATTTGAAATCAACAACCCAAAGTAACATATGTACCCCTATGTTCATTGCAGTACTATTCACAATAGCCAAGACATGGAAACAATCCAAGTGTCCATCCACTGATGATTGGATAAAGAAGATGTGGTATATATATACAATGGAATACTACTCAGCCATAAAAAAGACAAATTCATCCCGTTTGCAATAACATGGAAGGACCTGGAGGGAATTATGCTAAATGAAATAAGCCAGACGGAGAAAGACAAACACCAGATGATTTCACTCACGTGTGGAATATAAAGAAACACATGGACAAAGAAAACAGTTCAGTGGTTACCAGGGGAAGGGAGGTGGGGGGTGGTCACAGGGGGTGAAGGGGAGCACTTATGTGGTGACAGTCAAGAAATAATGTACAACTGAAATCTCGCATTGATGTGAACTATTATGAAGTCAATAAAAAAAGAAATTCTTTAGAAATAATGAAAATTATGTAGGTCAGAACCTCAGATCTACAGAAAGGAAGAACTTTACAGAAAATAAAGGTAAAATAAAAAAGGAAGATAACTAGAATTTCATACGTGTCCGATTCGGGTACTTTGGGACTTCCAACTAGATGTCCCGCGGGCAGCTGAATGTGTGGATCGTCTCAGAAGACTGATCGTGAGTGGAGACAGGGAGGAGATGGGCGCCATCGTCCCCAGGGAGGGAGACGGCCCAAGGAAAGGGTGGTTTCACTGGACCCCTGAAGGTAGTCAGGGCAGTTAATTCATTCAACCAACAAAGGCTATACACTGTGCCAGGTTCTGTAGGTACTTGGCGATGGAAATAAAGAGAGATAGCAGGAAGGGTGACCAGGAGACAGACAAGTAAATCAGTTACATTATGGGGCTGACTAGGGTAAGCATACAACAGAAATTTGAAAAAGAAAACTTTTATTTTTTATGTAAAAACTACACAATACAAAAAAAAAAAGATCTCAAACAGAAAAGCACAAAAAATTACCTACAGTTTCACCATCTAAAGAAAACCAGGTTAACAATCTGATGTATCTTTCAAACTTTGTATTTTATTTTCCGAAGGCGGGCACCCTCTCCTGTTCAGCAAGAGGAACAGTTGGATTCTTACTGGAAGCGGCGCGGCGCCGGGGAAGACGTGGCCGGCGCTGCTGTGGGGGCCGGGACTTAAGAAACCGCCTTTCAGGGGTGAAGACGATGGAGAGGGGAAGCGGCACGATCCTCGCCCTCACGCTGGGCAGTCAGACTTCAGAGAGGGATGCGCCCGCTCCGCACGCTCCGCGGACAACGGCCGGGGCAGCACGGATGGGCGTGCCCCCCGGCTAACCGCCGACCGCGGTGACGGGCAGAGGGCGGGGCGGCGCCGGATCTGCCTGGGCGGGGCCTTGTGACGCCGCGTCAGTTTCTCTGCTCTCGCGGCTCATTGGCTCGCCATTGCGGTCCTTTTCCGGGGCAGGGAAGCTGGTCGCGGAGCCGGAAGCGAGGCAGCCCTCGGGTTCGAGACAGCTGTGGCGGCGTTTACAGCAGAGCGACCCGGTGTCAGTGAAGCCGACCAGCTTCCCCGGAAATTCAGGCTCCAGCCCGAGTTGGGGAAGACCGCCAGCGTTCTGGTGACTTAGGGAAGGGTGCTAAGTCAGATCGCGAAAGACGCGGCGCAGATCGAGACAGCCGAGCCACTGAGGGCCGCCGGCTGCCCCGCCCCTGGGAGGAGTCCGGAAACCTCGCCGCGGAGGAAGGAACCCAAAAGGGCCGCCCCCGGGGCGGAGCCCGCCGGCCATGGCCACGCCCCCGGGGGCCGGTCCCGCAGTTCTGCGCTTCGCGGCCGCAGCCAGCTGGCAGGTCGTACGCCGACGCTGCGTCGAGCACTATCCGCAAGTGCTGGAGTTTCTGCGAGCCCTGCGCGCTGCTGCCCCTGGTTTGGTTCGCTACCGGCACCATGAACGCCTGTGTATGGGCCTAAAGGCCAAGGTATTGAAGCCAGTAGGACCTGGGAGAGGGGAAGGGGGCGCGATGGGAGGACCTAACAAGGGCCAGCCGCATAGGGGTGGCGAATGGAACCGGTGGAAAAGGGCAACTTGCCCTGAAATGGGTATTCTGAGCTCAGTAGCCTTCACAGGTGGTGGTAGAGCTGATCCTGCAAGGCCGGCCTTGGGCCCAGGTTCTGAATGCCCTGTATCACCACTTCCCAGAGCCTGGACCTGTAGTGCGGGACCCCAAAACTGTGAGTAATACCTGGAACAAGCCCTAACTACTCAGTCAGCACTCCATGCAAAGTTGCTGCTCCTCCCAGACACTGGATCCTGGTGCCCCTAACTTGTCTGCCTTCCTTACCCTCAACAGACAAAGCAGGATCTGAGGAAGATCTCGGAGGCACAAGAAACCTTTCGCCAGCAGGTGAAGCAGCTGGCAGAGGCTCCTGTGGATTTGGCTTCGAAGCTGCAGGTGAGACTGGCTGGTTTGGAAGCTATGACATGGCTGTTTTCTCTAGTCCACTTCTGACCAGCTTTCGTCCCCCCTGCAGGAACTTGAACAAGAGTATGGGGAACCCTTTCTGGCTGCCATGGAAAAGCTGTTTTTTGAATACTTGTGTCAGATGGAGAAAGCACTGCCTCGCGTGCAGGCACAGCAGGTTTTGTTGGGACAGAACACAACAGGGTGGAGTGCAGGGTGGTGGTATTAAGAACTGTGGTCTTCATGCCCCTCTCCCTGCCCACAGCTGCAGGATGTGCTGAGTTGGATGCAGCCTGGAGTTTCTGTCACTTCTTCTTTTGCCTTGACCCAATATGGTGTGGACATGGGGTGGCCACTTCCAGGTACCAGGACTATCTGGGTGAAGTAGGAATTTGGGGTAGAGTGTTTGGCCTGAGACCTTTTGAGACAGCCCATTGGAAGGGTTACCTCGGCCTGAGGCAGAAACCAGAGTGAGTTGATGTGTTATTGTCGGTTCTCTTTATAGGAGTTTTGTTTTCTTTTTCAGAGTGCTCTGATGCTGATTCCATGAATGTGACAGAGCCCATGGAGCAGAGTCCTCCTCGGCAACCAAGACTAGCACTCCACGATCCTCTACCAGAAGCCAGACCTGGCCCATACCTTCCTCAGGGAGCAGGCTCAAGGAAACACCCAGAACCTTTGGCTGGCCACCACTTCAATCTGGCCCCTCTAGGCCGGCGAAGAATCCAGTCCCAGTGGGCATCCACCAGAGGAGGCCATAAGGAGCGCCCCACAGTCATGCTGTTACCCTTTAGGAATCTAGGTTCACCACCCCAGGTCATTTCTAAGCCTGAGAACCAGGAAGAATATGGGACACATGTGGCAGATCCAGCAGGTGCTGTGGGCAGGCGAGCAGCCTCCACTGGAAAGTCTAAGAGTGCATCCCAGACCCTGGGGGGAAGGGCTCTGAAGGAGAACTCAGTTGACTTGTCTGCCTCGGAGCAAAAGGAGTGAGTAGATGGGTTGCTTCCCCCTACTAGCAGCACACTCTTTGCCTGCTTTCCCTTCACCCTGTCTTCTTTGCTTGCTCCCACCTCAGGAATTGTTTGGATTGCCCCATGGACCCCCTGAGACTATCATTATCACCTCCTAGGGCCAGGAAGCCAGGTAGGTATTCTGAGTCAGGACTGGGTCAGACAGCCTCCTCTCTTGGGGACTCTTGAGGGCCTCTGTTCACCTAGAAGAGTGCTTTGTCTCTGCTTTCCTTCCTGCAGTGGGTCCTCCATCTATGTGCAGCTCTGTCATTACCATAGGGGACTTGGTTTTGGACTCTGATGAGGAAGAAAATGGCCAGAGGGAAGGAAGGGTGAGTAGGAAGGAAGAGAAAGCTAGGGAAGGCTATGGGCAGAACAAGACAGAGAAACCTACATGCTCCAGAATCTGGAGGGCTCGCAGTGGTTTCAGATGATGACAGGCTCTCCCTGCTCCCTTCTCTGCAGGAGTCTCTGGATAACTATCAGAAGACAAAGTTTGACACCCTGATCCCCACCTTCTGTGAATACCTCCCCCCTTAAATCCCAGTGCCGTGGCTGTCCCTTCCCCTGACCATGTAGACAGCTCTAGACTCCTCTGATAGGACTGGAATGCCTTCTGCACTCTGCCTGTCTCCTTCCTCCTCAGCTGTACACGCAGTTTAGCGGGAATAAAGTGGAAGTCCACGCCTGACTAGTGCTCAAATGACTTTCTAACGCTTGATGATTAAACTCTGGATTTGTTACAACACTGTCTTGGTGTGAGGGAGGGGAATTAAGGCTTCTTTAAGGTCAGTCTAGGTCACTCCTTAGAAACAGTAGGGGCCTCTCCAGAGCTGGAAGAATCCCTACGCCTTTATACTTCCCTTGGAAAGTGTTGTTCAGATGTGGCCAGAAGGGTTACCAGGTTGAGAGCTTGGAAGAAAAATTTCCTTTTGCTATTCTGAACAGATCTATGTGTGTCCTGATGCCAGAATATACTTTGTAAATTCTCATGCTGCCATGTTACCTGGGGGCGGTGGCACTAGAATGGAGATATTTCACGGGAGAAGTACTCACTGTCCTTGACTCCACTGGGTCAGTGCCAGCGCCATCTCTACTTGCCCTGGAATAGCACCCAGATGCCCAGCTTTGTGCAGAAAGCCCCAGAATCTCTTTACAGTCGTTGGGATCTCTCTTTATTGAGGTATTTAAAATAAGTAAATACTACTTCTAAGTTTTTGAGATATTCAAAGATCCTATTTAATAAAGCTAATTCACAAAACATGATTCTAAAAGCCTACCTCTTCCAGACCGAGGCCATATAAAACACTGATGTAGCAATCAGCATCTTTTCCTTTTGATAATCTTCAGAATGCTAGGTGGTCCGATTCCCATTGGACTATCTCACTTCATCATCTCAGCGTGCCTGCCTTGCTTCCTTTCCAGTGAGTGCCCTGGGCATTTTGTGTGTACAGACAGAGCAGTACAGAATTATTCCAGGAGCCCTCAGGAGTGAGATGATAGGGAATGACTAAGTAATAAATGGCCATAGTAGCTGGGATGGGTGAGAGGCCCACTGGGGAGCCCTGTGCTGGGTGCTGGTGCCTTGGGAGGGCAGAATTGCTCAGGTCTAGCTCTCGTCACCGAAGATTGGATTCCACTGCTGGGTGACACGGATGAAGGTAGTTCTTCGGCTCAGCTCCTTCAGCTTAGCTGCTCCCACGTAGGTACATGTGGAGCGTATGCCTCCAAGGATGTCTCGGATGGTATATTTCACGTCCCCTTTAAAGGGCACCTCCACTGTCTTTCCCTCTGAGGCCCTTAGAGGAGGAAAAACTTTCTTACCTTTTCTTTTTGGATTCCTTAGGCCCAGTGACTTCCCCATTCTCTAGCATCTAGCCCCAGTTTATCACCTTTCTCCCAAGAACAGTATTATCCATCTCCCAGCAGCCATCAGTTCTGCAGCCATCCAGCTTAGTCACACTTTCCAAGACCCCTCAGCTCCTGGGCCCCCACACATACCTGTACTCAGACACGGACCCAGCGTACTTCTTCATGGCTGTTTCCGAACTCATTCCGTAGAAGAGCTTGTACTTCTTCCCATCCCTTTCGATGAGCTCACCACCTGACTCGCTGTGCCCAGCCAGCATGCCACCCAGCATCACGAAGTCAGCCCCTGCCCCTGCCAGCATCAACAAGGGGGGAAGAGACAAAGCTGGCCCAGGTGCCCACATGCCCACTTGCCCACTCTCAGAAGAAACTTATGCCAAATTTTCAGTCCTGACAGTGATTTCAGCATCTTCCTCATTTTGTTTCCCTAGCTGGGCCTGCTCTGCCCTGGCCTCTACTCTTCAGTAGGCCCGATTTCCCCAAGAATTTAAAAAGATCCTCTGGAGAGTCCCTGCCTGGCCTTTTACTGTCTCCTTTTTGCTGTTTTTGCCATCTTCTAGTCATTTCTTTTTACTGTGCCCAGCTGAACAAGACTCACTGCAAGTGTCCCAAGAGCAGAGGTCTCTGACTTTAGTGTGAGCCAGGACTACCTGGGAGGCTGTGAAAAAGGCAGATTTGCAGCCCCGCTCCCCAGAGCCTGACTGTAGGTTTGGGGTAGGGCTCAGGAATCTACATTGTCTACCAGCCCAGGGAACGGTGCAGGTGGTCCTCATCCACACTTGGAGAGTCCATATCAAAGCTGCAGGATTTCCCCTGCTGGCTTGCCCCACGTGACTCCACAGGCTTCAAGGTCACTAGGTTCCTATTATGAAAGAATCTGAAGGGTTCTCTCAGCCTTTCCTAGCTTGATCCTAGACCCTCAGAGGTGACTCATCCTCTTCTACAGGATCCTCCTTCCGTGCCCTCCCAACGTCCTTACCGAAAGCCTTGGCCACATCCCCAGGACAGGTACAGCCTCCATCCTGCAAAGTAAGGAACACTATGAAGAGACAGCATGGCCTTCCCAAGCCCTCTCAGCAGTGTCCCCATGGCCCACCTCAAAGTGACAGGAACCCAGGTGTCCTGATGCACCTCTACCAGAGCCTCCATACCTGGGAGAAAACCCACAGGTTTGGCAGCTCTCATCCTACCCTGCCCTTGGGCCTTACTGAAATGATGTGGCCTTTGAGGCCATGAGCAGCGTCTGCACACTCCATCACTGCACTGAGCTGTGGATAACCCACTCCAGTTTTCTTCCGAGTGGTACACACAGAGCCTGAGAAGAACGTGACATGGATGAGAGGGAAGTGCTCCACAGGTGTTTGCCACCGAAGGGGTAGCCAGTGGCTCCCAGTGAACCAGCTTACCTGGGCCAATTCCCACTTTGATGATGTCAGCCCCAGAGAGGATCAGCTCTTCCACCATCTCTCCCGTTACCACATTCCCTGCCTGAGAGAGCAATCAAAACAGCATTGTTAGGGTCAGAAGAGAGAGGAGGTTGCATGCTCTCATAGATAGTATGCCAGGACCATGACCTGCCAACATTATGACAAAAAAAGGTACCTGGGCTCCCTCTACTGGGACCTCTGAGGGCTTTCAGACTAGTCATTTCAAAGGACCCTGCTTCCCAAGCTAAGGTAAGGGGGTGAGCGGCCAGTGTCACTGTTGCACCAGAATAAACCTGGGGTCCAATTGGACCAAGCTTAAATGTGATTTACAGCAGATTTATCTCCCCCTCCCCACCAAGAGACCCAACATATCCTGTCCTTAAACTTTTATGTCATAAAATGTCTGTGGCTTCAGGGAAAGGAAGACATGGTAATGAAGGCTAAATACCCATCTGCACAGCTGTATTTGCTTTTGATGGACAGAACAGAGAGACCCCCTAGATGCTGTGAAGATAATGAGGCCTTGTCATCACTCCTCTAGGCTTGGACAAAAATAAAACATTGTTTTATGCTACCCCTTTAATATAATTGCAGTAACATGTCCATTTCAGTGGGCAGGTGTATATGGACCGCCGGTGTTGTTCCCTCACGGTTTGGTGAGTGATGTCAGGGATTTTGGATTTACAAAGACTCTCTGTCAAAGGTGAGATAACTGCACTGACCAATAAATAAACATTTTAAGCATGGAACCGTGGATAATCACCCAGTAACAAAATTAAGTGGACTATGAAAGTCACAATGTAGCAGAAGAGAAATGAACTGATGTAACAAATGACTTGGCAGGAAAGAGGGGAAGAAGGAGAGGAATGTACCAACTACAGGGGGATAGAAACATACCATGATGGTGTGTTCAGGGAAGCGCTTCCTCACATTCTTTACAAATTCAACAAAGTGTTCAGAGTAGCCATTTGCCACATCCAGACATATATATTTCACCTGGGGAACAGCTTCCAAGATCTGTTCCAGCTGCTCAAAGTCTGAAGAGCCCGCGCTGGCAGCCAGATGCTGTGGGAGAAACAGGGCCATTGGCATGTCAGAAATGACCCGGGGAGCAGCCAGGTGGGGAGGTGAGAGTGGGTCCCCAGCAAGACAAAAAAAGATTTCTGGAAAACTGGGATAAGGAAGGGATTGGGGAAGGCCAGTGTTACCTCAAGACAGTCAGGATTCTGGCTAGCAAACTCTTCCCACTGCTTGAGGCTGTAGTGTTTATGGACAGCAGTGAAGAGGGAGAACTGTGGAGAAGAAAGGCATCAGAAAGGAGAGAACTTTATTAGGGTGCTTTTTTCTAGAAACAGACCTTTATACTATTCTATCTGAGGGAGAAAAGGACTGAAGCCTGGAACGAGCAACTTGAAGAAGTCAGTGGCTTAACTGGGATTTTCGTTCAATCATTATTCTCCCTACAAATCCCAGTAGGGCTTTTTACCATAAGTTAGTACTTGTCAAACACTCTCACCAAAGTACTGTCATCTAGATTGGCTTTCACCTGCCAGCACATACGGTGCTTCTGACCTAAAAGGTGACAAGAACAAGCTGTTGGTACAGTGGGAAAATCAGTAGGTTAGAACCATGAAGAGGGTAGACAGAGCCGGTGTCTGCCTGCACTGACTCAGCCGTTCCTCCTATGGTAATCTAGTACTGAACTAAACTATTTTTGGTTATCTTCTCGTCCATTTACCAGCAGTAATCCAGTGAGTCTAAATGCTCACAAAAGGTAAGGCCTCAAGGTGAATGGAGCCAATAAGGTGCTACCCCATCCTTTCTCCGTCTCCACTGGAGTAAAGGACAAATTTTCTTGAGACATGCACCAATGTGAAAAGTCTATGTCATTCAGTCTATTTCAGTCAACCAAGTTCAAGGATATAATGACTCATCAGACTTGCATTCCCTAGCTCAACAACTTACAAACAATATCACAATACTTTGAGAAAGCTGGCCACTGTGAATGCTGGTGTTTGTACTTTAAAAGTGTTGACATGCAGAGCCGGCCCCGTGACCGAGTTGTTAAGTTCATGCTCTCTGCTTCAGTGGCCCAGGGTTTCGCTGGTTCGGATTCTGGGCGTGGACATGGCACCGCTCATCAGGCCACAGTTGAGGCGGCATCTCACATGCCACAAATGGAAGGACCCACAACTAAAAATATAAAACTATGTACCAGGGGGCTTTGGGGAGAAAAAGGGAAAATAAAATCTTTTAAAAAAGTGCGGACATGCAAAGAGACGAGAGACAGCAGTTGACTGAGACAGCACAAATCCTGCAAGTGACAGAAATCCAAGGAAGTCATGTATCAACCAACAGTAAGGAAGTGCGATTGCTATACTCAGTCAGAGATCATCAACACTATGTAGCTAAAGCTGGTATTGAATTCTGCTTTCTCAGTAACACTCTGCCATCAATATGCTGACAAACAGAAAAACCAATCTAGGAAGTCAGCAGACCTTGGAGATATACTGGCACAATGAGCACATCCAATTACATACCAAGGTAGAGATCTAGAAAAAGATGCCTGCTTGCATCCAACCTTTTTATTATTACTGTGAGACTTAGCTCTCTGTCTAAAATCTGACTTCTTTAGCACTCATCGGCAGTACTGAAAAGCCAGGCTCAACATAAAGCATCAAGACAGTCCCAAAGAGGTCCATGTATTATGGCATGTCTATTGACGCTGAAGTCAGATTCCCCATTCCTCAACTCTGCTCGACAGGGCATGCAGGCAACAGCAGGACTCCTAAGTAGTTAGTGGATGGCAACAGCAATACAGCACTAAAACTCCACAAACTATCAACCTCAGAGAAATGACAGGAGACATTCCACAAAGACTTACAGCAATCAAAAACAGAGAAAGGGAGATAAGTCCTGAAGGCTAACAGAGCCACAGCAGGAGCAGAGTCCATCAACCAGGGCTACATGGATTAACCAGAAGAGTGCATGTGTTCTCAGAGTGCCCAGAGTAACTATCTACCTTCTCAGCTACAAGTATAGAGGCAGGTAATATTACTGACAGAAGCAGCATCTTCCATTTTGAAAGTGAACAATAACCTGTATATAAGAAAAACACATTCCATTTTGAGCATATCCCAGAAACTCCCAGGAACCTAGGACTCAAAATAGAAAAGAACAAGATTAAAAAACAAAAAGGATAGCAGGCATAAAAGAAGAATAATAAGCTTCTTCTCTCTAGGATCGTCTAGTTAGGAATTTTTGAATGCTCAAACTATATTTAGTTTCTGGACTAAAACAGTGAATGCTTATGTCCTAACAATGGTGTAACTGGAGGGACACATGTGATTTGGAGGAGGTGACCTGGGTGGTGGGAAGAGTTGGCAGGATGTATAAACTGTTGGACAGGAGAAAAGGGAAAGTTCTGTTCCTATATCAGAAAAATGGAGGCAAAACTTAGCCTTGAACATCACTAACGCAGGTGGTCCTTTGAACTTATCAGATAAAGGAATCTTAGTACTGGAGAAAATAGTAAATCGGAGCATCCTGATTGTTAATTGCCTGAGTTGACTTGGCATGGGGATGGGGACGCAAATACCTCTGCAGTCAGCCCACATAAACTGGACACCATTGAGGAGAGGGCATGAGGGAAGTCCTACCTTACAGAGAACCTTGGCCATTTCAAAAGTGCCCACAGTATCCATATTGGAGGCAATAATGGGGATCCCCGTGTACATCTGCTTTGAGTTCCGAAATGAAAAGGATCTTGTGAGATCCACCTGCAGATATAAAGAGGAAACTGAGCATTTTGTTTAAAAAAACTATATAACAGGCCCATAACGGCCCCCAAAACAGCTAACAAAGATTTAATTAGAGTTGCAGCCCATCCCAAGAATGTGACCTTTAAACAGTGAATCTGAAATTTCCTGAGTTGAACTAGTGAGGTAATCTGCATGACAAAACCCGTGCCAGTTCCCTTCCCCCCGCGCCCCCCAAAGAAGATGGTCTGGCCCAAAATATCTTTTTTCTTCTTTTGTTAACAACTCCCTTGCTCCACCCCTCTTCCTTTAAAAATCTTTGATTTTTGTACAACCCCTAGGAGCTCCCTTCTGGTGGCTACATGCGATGCTGCCCAGTTCATAAATCGTTTAATAAAGTCAATTAGGTCTTCGGACTTCCTTGATTGAATTTTGTTTTCTAATACACTCATCCAAAAAACAAGTACTGCACGAGGACAGAGCTAGGAATCTTTCTCAGTCCTGGACCGCCAGGAACTTCCGCCAGGAACTTGGGGTCAAGAAGTGCAACTAGGGAAGCCGGCTCACCTCACTTCGAGACTTAAGGGTACTTCGTTTGGGCCTCAACAGGACATCCTGGAAGGCCAGTTTGACGTCGTTGTCGATGTGAGGCATAGCGAGATCCTCAGGGTAGTGACGGATCTGAGGGCTGGAAGGTAGGAAAAATCAGGAGGGGGGGAGCTGAACCCGTAGCAGGCCTTACTGCCCTGTTAGGTTTAGCAGCAGGGCTCATCTCTTTCCTCGCTTAAACTGTGGAAGGTCCGGGCATTGGTCGAGGCATGGTCCCTGAAGACTGTCACCTTTGACCTGTCCCATGTTTGCGATTACCCTCGGTGTCTCCATCCTAGGTACTAGTTGTGAGGAGAAGAATTGGGATGGAGTCATGAGTGACTCTACAAGAGTGCATTCGTTACCCCGCTACTTTCATTCTCCCGCCCCCGGAAAGAGCAATTTGGAGTAAGACGCTGATTTGGGGACGAAAAGGAATGCGGGGTGGGGGGGGCATAACCAGCTTCCGGAATAGGGGTACTCACTTCCTGTCGCCGTGACCCAGGTGGCAGTTGACCGATGTTCCCCTTGCTTAGCAACTAGCCTCAAGCAGCCCCGCTGAGCCTTGTGGGCTACTCCAATAGCTTCCGCTAATTGCGGGCGAGAAACATTAACCCAGGAACTCTAGCTTCAGCGGGGCCTTGCCAGGCCTTCTGGGTAACAGAGTTCACATACTGAGGTTGCCGTTAGATCCTCAACGTTGCCGTCGCCCCTTGGAGGGGCGGGAGACTACAACTCCCAGAGTGAAACGCGCGGAGCCCCGTGGCACTATGGGAGAAGTAGTCCGTTCCACCCCCGCCCTCCACTAGCCTGGGCTTGCAAGGGTCTCTCAGAATCGTGGAGGCGTCATCTCTGCTGTAACTAAGCTGGCCGCCTTCTTTTCATTTCCGACGCCACCGAAGCGAAACCCGGGAGCATTCCTGAGCCTTTTGGAAACCCCGTGGAAAGGAGGGGGTGGAGCCAGACAGTGACCCGGAAGCAGACGTGACTCCCATAGGCAGAGTGCTGGGCAGCGGCAGCGGCGACTGCAGCGGTAGAAGCAGCAATTTATCTGCGCGCGGCCCCAAACTGGGAAGAAGATGCTAATTAAAGTGAAGGTGGGAGCACCTCCAGCCTTGCCAAGACGCAGTGGTACTGGGCTGGCCGCTGTGCCTTGCGGGAGAAGTGGGGAAGGGAAACCACGCCTTTCCCGAGCCTGGAGGGCACTGACAGCCTCAGGGCTCCGCGCGAGGGGTGATGGGAAGTAGGGGGACCCAAAAGGGCTGTGAGAGCTGAGGGCTGGCCCCGCCTGACGACCCCGGGGTCTCTGCCATTCCTGCTTTCTCGCCAGAACTGGGCCATGACCCAGAAGGAGGCCGCCTTTGTCCGAGATCTCGCTGTGTTCGAACCCCCGCGGTCAGAGAGCAGCAGCTTGGCTCCCCGCTCCTTCAGATTCTTATGATGAGCTCTGATCTCCATTCTTCATGCCCGGGTTACCTGCTTCTCCCGGCCCCTAACATAGGCTGCCTCCGAACACAGCACAAAAACGTTAGCCTGGGGAAGCGGGGGGCCTCCCAGGAGCTAGACTGTAAGCCTTTGCTGATTGTCGCCAAGGTGTAGTATCTCAGCCGGCCTTCAGGAACCAAAGCTGGGAGTGTGTTCAGTCAGCACCTGACTGAGGCAGGTTAGTTATCAGTGCCCTAGTTCTTGGCACTAGCAGTGTTTCCTTCATCTACACCTCTCTGCTCCCGTGGTTCTTCATCAATTCCCAACCCTCATTAGTCCTGTCTGCTATTTCCTCTTCTGTATCTTTAGACAGAGAGACAAAAACTAACAATTGATGTAGTGAAACATTAGTTTGGCCTTTTTACTGCTAAGTCAGTCTGTCGTTCTTTCATCAGCTCCTTAGCGTATTTACCATACATAATAGCCACTCTTAACCTCTTCGGTCCTTCCAAACCACCTCTTCGATAAGGATTGAGGTCAAACAGGGTGCGTGTTAAAGGTCGTTGTTTTTCAGACTTTGAGTAGTACCCTATAAAAGAGCCAGTATTTGTGAAATTAATTTAATGAGTCACAAGCAACATTAAAAGAGAAGAAAGAAAATAGAATTATCAGGGTATACTGCTGGATGAGAGTATTGTTTTGTGAAATTTTTGTTTTCATTTTATATGTATATTACACACATGTATGTTACTAGTTCATGTGATTTTCTTATTGTGGGTCACTGTCAAGAAAGTTTGAGAAACACTAGCAGATGAATGCTTTTATGTTTTCAATGCATATGGTTTCTCATGTCCTCCTTGGCCTCTCTTAGTCTAAAGAAGAGGTTATTATTATACTTGGGTTCAACGTTTTGTAAGATTTTTTTTTTTTATCTCAACCTACACTAAGAAATTTTACCTCCTGCCCCATACAGACACAAAAAACTTAGCATGTGTGATATGCTCTGATGTTTTCAATTCTATTCGAAGTTGCTTTCATAACCCACTGATGGGTTGAGACCTGCAGTTTAAAAAAAGTACCGTGTTCTAGATGGACTTCTCACCTTGAGAGTGCGTAAGAATCACCTGGAGATCTTGTTAAAATGCTGATTTTAATTCACTAGGTCTGGGACGGGAGCCGAGCGTCTGCATTTCTGATATGCTCCCAGGTCATGCTGATGCTGCTTATCTGGGGACTGCCCTTTGAGTAGCAAGCTTCTAGATTTAGATTTCGTCTCTCTGAATCTGTTTTAATTTTGTATTTCTCTGAAATTCAGTCTCCTTTCCCAAAACACTTTCCTTTCCGCCTTCAAACAGATTTCTCTGCCTTCCTTCTCTCCTTTTTGTTTACTGCATTTCTTTATACATTAAATACATATGAAAGCAAATAGTTAGCTGTCAATTCCTATATAAATGATAGGTTTTTATTAGCAGGGTTCCTTTGTGAATTATTCATTTTTCAACTGTCATCTCTGTGTAGCTGACTTCTGTCTCTCTTTCTGCAATCCTTTAGCAACTAAATCCCTCCTGATTTAAATCTTCTCTTGCTACTTCATCTCTGTCTTTCTAAAGTTAAATATATCATCTTCTGTCTTAAGGTATCTTCCCAATGCTCATCTCATACATTGACCCCATCAATCTACCAGGTGTCTGGAACCCAGTTCTTTAGAGTCATTGTTCTCTTATAGAACCTAATTTTTCCTTTGATACCTGTTTCTGCTTGATTTTCTTTTCCATTCCTGTTACCCTTATTCTGGTCTGGGGTCTCATTAGCTTAGGTCTTTATTGCCCTGTGATACCTCCAGCCAGGTTTTCCTATCACCATACCTTCTAGAGTTTAGAGTCCAAACCAAGATGTGGTGTACAAAATCGTAGTGTACAGGTCTTCTTTCGACTTCTTTTTCATCATATTCTCTCCCCAGATCCTGCATTGATCCCCTCTTAGCAGATTACTTTGGGCAACTGTCTTTACTTTCTACGCCCCAGTTTTCCCATTCGTGTTTTTTTAACAGAATAAAACACAAAGTTCTTAAGGTTTCATTTCAATGAGTTTTTAACAACGGTATACTCTCATGTATACACAAGATCGAGAACATCTTCACCCCCTCCTCTGAAAGTTCCAGGGGTTGGTTTTGCTTGTTTTAGAACTTCATATAAATGGGATTATACGATATGTAGTTTTTGTGTCTGGCTTCTTTCACTCAGCATTATGCCTATTGTATCTGTAGTTCCTTCTTATAACTGAGTAGTAGTCCGTTGGATGACTGTGTCACACTGTGTTTATCCATTCTGCAGTTGATGGACATTTGAGTTGTCAGTTTGAGCCGGTTTTTGGCTATTATGAGTAAGGCTCCTCATACAGGTCTTTTGTTATACAGGTCTTTTTGTGAACATGTTTTCACTTCCTTTGGATAAATATCTAAGAGTGGAATTACTGGGTCACATGGTAGATATATGTAACTTTAAAAGAAACTGCCAAACAGTTCCCCAAGGGGTTGTACCGTTTTACATTCCCACCTGCAGTGAATGAGCATTCCAGCTGCTGTGTGCCCTTGCTAACTTGTAGTCATGTCAGGCATTTTTATTTGAGCTATTATGGTGAGTGTGAAAAGTTGTCTCATTCGGGTTTAAATTAATCTCCATTGATTTTCACTCACCACTCACTTGGTCATTGCACCTTATATTTGGACAATAATATTCATATGGTAGTTCCTTGTATGTTGGTTTGTTCTGTTAATTGTATGCCTCATTGTTTCTTGATTGTAAATCTTCACTTGAAAAAGATTCATAGCAAAGACTGCATTGCTTAATTTCTTTTATATCTCTTCCAGTGCCTAAAGGGGTATGTTGAGCTTAGGTTTATCATAGAGTTGTTAGATAGCATTGAATGTGTTCCCAGGTCACAATGACCAGATCTGAGGGAAGCAACCCAGTATGACATGATATATTGAGAATATCCTTTAAAATTGTTCAGTTTCTTTAAGAACAACTTTAATTATGGACGATTTCAAATATATACAACACCAGAGAGAAGGACATAACGCACCCTTTACCCAGCCTAAAAAGCTGTCATCTTGTGGCCAATCTTATTTATATTTACCAACTCTACTTATCTGATATTTTATAAAGCAAATCCCAGACAGCATAGCATGTTATTCATACATATTTCAATATTTACCTGTAAAAAGTTCTTTTTCCCCCATGTCACCGTAATTGTCACACCTAAAAAATTAACAATGATTTCTTACTATCATCAAATTTACTCTGCTGTTTCATTTGTTTTTTACAGTTTGTTTGAATCTGGATCCAACTAAGATGATACATTGCAATTGGTTGATATGTATTTTAAGCCTTTTTAAATCTGTAATTCCCCCCTTAGAGTTTCCTACAGTTTGGATTTGCTGATTACTTCCCCATGTTGTCTTTTAATTTATTCCTCTTTCCTCTGTGCTTCCTGTCAGTTAGTAACAAGATCTAGAGGCTTGAGTAGTCTTTTTTGTATGTTTATGTGAGGGAATAGTTCATAGGTGGTGGTGTGGGATGCACTTCTGTCAGGTTATTTTGCTTTCTGTGATGTTGGTCATGCCTCCATCCATTATTTCATTGGAGGTTACAAAATGAGGATATTCTGATTTTTTTTGTTGGTTCATATACTAGCTGGAATGCTTGAGCAGTGTTCAATATGGTAGCCATTAGCCACGTGGGCTATCGAGCACTTGAAATGTGGGTAGTGAGACTAAGGAATTGAAGTTTTCTTTCAATTACTTATTTTAATTGTATTTAATTTAATTATAAAAACTGAAACCTTATTCAGTCGTTGGGAAACTTTTAAGTATGTTTGGAACAAGTTAAATATGTAAATCTATTTTTCCAACTGTAAATTATGAAATTTAAATACAGATCAAGTATTTCAGATTAAAATTTACTATCTGACCTGAGAGAAGTGCTGTAAGAATGAAATGCACACAGGATTTTGAAGATTTGGTTAGAAAAAAAGTATAAAATATATTAATAATTTTTGTATTGGTTACATATGGAAGTGATAATATTTTGAATATATTGACTTAAGAATATTAAAATTAATTTCACCTTTTAAATATATGGCTACTAGTGTATTTAAAATTGTATATGAGCTTGCATTACATTTCTCTTTTTGTGTTGTTTAAAGATTGGCACCTGAGCTAACAACTTGCCAATCTCTTTTTTTTTTCTGCTTTTTCTCCCCACATCCCCCCAGTATATAGTTGTATATATATTTTTTTAGTTGTGGGTTCTTCTAGTTGTGGCATGTGGGATGCCACCTCAACATGGCCCGATAAGTGGTGCTGCATCTGCGCCCAGGATCCGAACTGGTGAAACCCTGGGCCACCAAAGTGGAGTGCGCAAACCCAACCAGTTGACCACAGGGCCAGCTCCACATTACATTTCTATTTCTGTTGGGCAGTGCTGCTTTACAGAATTGTTTCCTTATACTCTCCTCAAGATCAGTGTTTTAAAAATAATTTTTTTTCTCATTACAGTGTATTTATGGTATAAAAAAATGGAAAACACCGAAAAGCACAAATAATATGATTAAAATCACCCATAATCTCACAACTCAAGATAAAAGCCCTGATGTATATATCCTTCCAAACGTTTTCGAAAGCGCATAAATACACATGTTCTTTTTTTTTGTTTTTACAAAATTGGAATTATATTGCTATTCTAAACATTATTTGAAGACTGTGTGATTTTCCTTCTTATGTTTGTACCACAATTTATTTAACCCTCAATTGTTTGATATTTAGATTGTGTCTAAGTTTTCAGCGTCAGAAGGCTGCAGTGATGTTGTTGTGGGTACATTTTTGGACACAGTCCTGCTTATTTTCTCAGAAGTGTTGTTGCTGGGATGCTGTATTGCCCGATTGCTCTCCATATACGTTCATGGGCTTCTACAGTCAGTTTCAAAAACAAAGGGCCAATCCTATGGTTTTAGTGTTTACAAACCAATAATTTTTTTTCATGTCGTACAGCCCAAGCATCTTACTCTTGGGAGAGCAGTTCTAGACCTTCTCTTAAACTCTTTCTTACTCTTTAAGCATTTTTATTGTCAGAATGAATATTTGTTTACTAATATTGATGTGACAAAGGAATATATATATATATATATATATATATATATTTTTTTTTTTTTTAAGGAAGATTAGCCCTGAGCTAACATCTGCTGCCAATCCTCCTCTTTTTGCTGAGGAAGACTGGCCCTGAGCTCACATCCGTGCCCATCTTCCTCCATTTTAAATGTGGGACACCTACCACAGCATGGCTTGCCAAGCAGTGCCATGTCTGCACCTGGGATCCGAACCCGGGAACCCTGGGCCACCGAAGTAGAACGTGCGAACTTAACCACTACACCACTGGGCCTGCCCCAGGAATATATTTTTATTAGAAATGTAAATGGTACAGATAAAGCAAGTTACCTCCCCTCAGTCCTACTCCCCTTCTCGAAGATAGTCACTATTAAGAGAGACGTATGCTTTTAATCCCTTCTTCTATGCATGTACATATGTCTGTATCTCCATACAGAAAATGATAGATAATTATACATTCTCTAGATCTTTCCATGTTAGTGTATAAGCTGTTACATAATAAATATGTCATTCTATGGATGTACCATAGTTTAATAGTTTTCTTATTAATAGGCATTAGGCTATTTCTAGTCTTTTGCTCTTACAAAAGGTGCTGCAGCAAACCTCACCTGTTCCTCTCTGGATCCATGCTCAAGCTTTTCCTCCAACTTAGTTACCTAGAAATAGAACTCTCTGGTTGAAGAGTCTTCTCATTCAAAGTATTAAGATCAATAAAGTGAAATAATTTGTGGACAGCACAGAATTGCAAACTTTTCATTTCGTCAGGAAAGGGCCTAAAAAAAAATCATTGTATATTGTCACTGTCATTTCATAAAAGGACATTTTAACACCCAAATATATTTAGTTTCATGAAAATCTCACTGTTGTCATTATTTTTCTCATTTTACCATAGACTATTGAAAATTTTCACACGGACCACCTTGGGTTCGGGTAGAAACTTGAAAATCACTGTTGTAATTTATTCTTTTGCATCCAAACAGGTAAATCCAAAGGAGTTACTCTTGCATTTTTGGAAATATACTTGGTTCTGAACCACTCTCATAGTTGAGAAATTAGGTCCTCAGTACTTCTTCATGCTGGTCTAGGTGAATACCATAAGTAGAAACCGTGTGTTATTTTGTGAACCTTCTGCAGGATCGTATACTGGATCTCAATACTAGACCAGCCGGACTCAGTTAAGCAGTACCGAGTACAGACTTAAAAGTTCAGGCTCTGGGTCCGAAGAGTCTGTGTTTGGATCTGCACACTCCTTTTGACTTCCTAGGCATGCTTTTTAACCTGTCCAAGCCCCATTTTCCTCATCTATAAAAGAGTGATAGTAATAGTACGTATCTCATAAATACTAGCAAGAATTAAACAGATTGATGCCTGTTGGACACTCAGCATAGTTTCTGACTCTTGCAAAGTGTTTGGTAAATGTTGGCTGTGATCATAACCTGATCATTGGTGTATTTGGCCCTTCCACAAATATTTACTGACTGCTCGTATGTCAAACCCTGTGCTTTGTGCTTAGATTAGAACAGTCTCTGTCCTTTAGGAAGCTGTAGTGTAAGTTGGAGAGTTTAACACTTAAACAACTAGCTCTAGTGGGTACTGAAGTGCACTGGTGGCAAGTCATTGATCTTATATTGCAGGGTCCTTGAAGGTTTGAGAAGAGTGGGGGAGGGTATGGCAACAAGGAAACGAGTAGAAGCAAAGAAATGCCCTTAAACTAGACCGTACATGGTGTGTTTGTGGTCTGGGTTACTGTAGACTGGCGCGGATAGAGCTTTAAGAGCAAAGACGGGTGGGAGATTAGATTGAATGGAGCATGGTATTTGTACGTGTACTGTCAGTATGATTATTGCATTTGGATATCATCAGGCCTTAGCCTATGGAAGAAGTCGAGAAGAGCAGAGCTGCAATTTAGGATTTAGGTAGGAGTCTAGAGAAGATATGGGGGAATAGAATGTGGAATTCTAGTGTTCCTTAAGAAGCTGGTCAGAGATGGTCTCTTGTGTCCTTGAGAATTCTTTGAATTACCTGAATGTTCAGTTCTAGCATTCATGTATAAAACTGGCTCCTTCTGACTCAAAAGAATACTTTCCTTAGGATACCTCTCATCACTGTCTCATCTAAAAGAACTCCAGTGTTCTCATGGATTCTAGTGGGGTGGGGGTGGGAGATGACCTGTGGCATTAAGAGGGTCAAATAATTCACAGAATTTTGCCCTATCAAAGTTGTCCATAGCCTAAAAATGTTTGACGAATACAGGTATGGTCAAAGCCTTCTGATTCTTCAAACCAGCTTAGCTGAGAATGTGTATCTCTCAGAAAGCAGTAGATCCCCAGAGACGAGGACAGGATGTTTTACCTAGAAGATGAATTATGTAGTGGGCTATAGGACTCATGAAACCCTTGCCTGTTTCAGACGCTGACCGGAAAGGAGATTGAGATTGACATTGAACCCACAGACAAGGTAACGTATGCCCACCACCTCTTCGTGCCTATCGCCCTGCATGTGCGTTTGTTTGGATATGCTGATGAATGTAGTCCTTTGCTCTCATGCTATGTGCGTAGCTCTTGTTCTTCCCACTTCCGTCCTACCCCTAGCAGCCCCTGACTACTTGTTCTCCTAAAGGTGGAGCGAATCAAGGAGCGTGTGGAAGAGAAAGAGGGAATCCCCCCACAGCAGCAGCGGCTTATCTACAGTGGTAAACAGATGTGAGTCTGGAATGGGAATGAGGGCATGGCGATCTTATGTGAAGATGAGGGCGCAAATACTGCCAGTGGAGGGGGCCTGCCTCTTTGTTTTGGTGCCTTGGACCCTTTAGCAATTTGGTGAAGCCCCTGAACCCCTTCTCAGAATAAGATTTTTGCAGACTTAAAATATGTAGAATTACAAAAGAAAGTAATTATATTGATATACAGTTATCAAAATACTAAAAAAGCAAATTTGTGATATAATTATCTATGTGCTTATTTATTAATACATTAAGGTCTAATGGTGGGTCCAATAACTACCATAATTTTGAAATATTTTCAAGATACTTGCAAATAGTTGTATTATGATATGAAAATATCTAATTTCTGTTGTTAACAGATTACCCATATTGCTAATACCACTGAGTGTTTTTACCTATGTTCAAGATTAAAAGAAATATCATATTTCAGTTAGGGGTTAGTAAAAATAAAGATGTAATTTTTTTCTCATCTGAGTTCATAGACCCCCAGAGAGATCCATAAAACCCAACCAAGAACCCTGTTCTAGAAGGTATTTCTAATGCTTTTTTGGCCTCCTTTTCCTGCAGGAATGATGAGAAGACAGCAGCTGATTACAAGATCCTAGGCGGTTCAGTCCTCCATCTGGTGTTGGCTCTGAGAGGAGGCGGTGGTCTTAGGCAGTGATGGACCCTCCCTCCATTTTACCTCCTTACCCTGTCGCTCGTAATGAGGCATCATATATCCTCTCACTTTCTGGGACACCAGAGCCACTGCCCCGTCTCATGGATGCCCAGTCTTGTGTGTCTACTGGTGGGAGACTGTGAGGGCCCCAGGATGCAGTGTTCCTGGCCCAAAGGGCCCTTGCTGGCTACTGGGTTTTAGTTTGCAGTCCTGCGTGCTTCCCTCTGTTATGGCTATGTCCCTGATTGTCAATAAAATATTTCCTGGCCTCTTGGAATCTATCTTCTCTTGCACAAATGTGATTGAAATCAAAGTGGACCCAGTGCACACTCGGTTACGCCAGGCTGAAGGAGTAGGACAGTGGAAGGGAATGTGCCCTCAGAAGGATTATCAGACCCTAGGAATGCCTGCTCTCAGTGGTGTGCTGGAGCCAGCACTTACCAGCTCACGAGAGCTAATTATTGGCGTCTGTTCTCAACCCCATGTTGAGTGACTTCATGTTGGTAGCTTGAAATTGGCCATGGTAGGAATATTTACAGAAATTGGCAGACAATACAAATCGGTCTCACCCACAGAATGGTGGTTACGTATCTACCAGCATACTACTGGCATGGGTGGTAGAACCAGGAGAGTGAATTCTTTCCCACTGTGGCCTACTGGACGTTTGGGCCTGGTTTGAGAGAGGCCTCAAGGGTTTTGCAGACACTCCTGTTTTTGATAGGAAAGATTCACCCTGGGCTAACATCTGTTGCCAATCTTCCGCTTTTTTTCCTCTCCAAAGCCCCGGTACATAGTTGTATATTCTAGTTGTCCTAGTTCTTGTGTGTGAGCTGCCACCACAGTGTGGTTACTGATAGACGAGTGGTGTGGTTCTGCGACCAGAGCTGAACCTGGGCCTTGGAAGCTGAGCACACTGAACTTTAACCACTAGGCCATCAGGGCTGGCTCTGCAGACGCTCCGTTCTTTATGGCTGGTATTGCTGGGGCTCTGGGTTCTACAGTACGGAGAGAGGCTGACACGGAGAAGGGTGGAGTGAGGAGTGACACAAGCTACGATACATCACTTAGGTCTCGGTAAGATAAAATGAGATGGGTCCCAGAAAAAAAGGCTTCCCTTCCCTGGCTTCTCTAGTTTAGTAGAATGGCGAGGCTGGGTGTAGTGGGAACGTAAGGGAAGAAGATCTCTTGAAGAGACAAAGACCTCTGGTCCTGCGCGCGGTGGCTCAGGCATTTGCTGCAGGCTGTTCCCTCCTCCACCATCAGAAGGCGCTCTTGCGCAGTCTTCAGACTGACAGCCCCGGCGCGGCGTGGCGGCGCTCTAGCCGCGTGTCTCAGGCCGGCGGGGCGGCCTCGTAGCCCTGGGAGCGCTGCGAGGACTCTGTGGCCGCGGGGAAACCCCGCCTCCGAGCAGTCGGCTTGCGGCGCTGGTGATGGCGCAGCTCCCGAAGCTGGCGGTCTTCGATCTGGGTGAGGGCCCGACTTGGGAGAGTTTCGTAGGGCGCTCTCTTCCCAAACCCCAGTTGCAGCGCTCGAGGCCCTGCGCCCTCCAAGGCTGAACCCCCGCTTCCTCTCGCAGATTACACGCTCTGGCCTTTCTGGGTGGACACGCACGTAGACCCCCCGTTCCACAAGGGCAGGTGAGGCGGGGCTGGGGGGCGGGCCCGGCGGGCCTGCCGGCGCTGAGCGCTCTCTCGCCCTCTCCAGTGATGGAGCTGTACGAGACAGGCGGGGCCAAACCGTCCGACTGTACCCAGAGGTGCCTGAGGTCCTGGAACGATTGCAGGGCCTTGGGGTGCCCGTCGCGGCCGCTTCCCGGTAAGAAGAGCGACTGAAAAAAACTCAGTTCGATGCTGAGAGATGCGTGCATGAGGAGACTTCCCGTGTAACCCCTTGGCTACAAAAATTTCGGCCATGTATGTTTGCAAATACTTCGATATTTTTCTAATTGTACCCTCTCCTGTGCCTTTTATTAAACATTGGCTAGAGCCACGCATGTCAGACAAGAAGGATATGGAGTTGAATAAGGGCCGAGGATGCCTGGCCATGCTGGAATACAGCAAGTTATTCCCCCCTGGTTATACGTAAGTTAACTTGCAGCCCTGGCCCTCCACACTCCTGATCTCATCTTCTACACCTTTGTGCAGGACAAGTGAGACTGAAGGTGCCAACCAGCTACTGGAGCTCTTTGACCTTGTCAGATACTTTGTTCATCGCGAAATCTATCCAGGCAGCAAGGTCACACACTTTAAGAGGTACGTGGGGAGGAGCAGAGAGAGACAAGACCAGAGAGCTGGAGGAGCGAAGAAGCCAACGTGGTTACCCCCTGCCCTCACCCCCTGCCCTGTCTTGCACAGGTTGCAGCAGAAGACTGGAGTTCTTTTCTCCCAGATGATCTTCTTTGATGATGAGAAGCGGAATATTGTAGATGTCGGCAAACTGGGTACTGAGTGGTGAAAACAGCCATTTGGGCAATGAGGAGATGGGGTTCCTAGGAGGGGTTAGGTAGATATGTACAGGATGGATAGTTTGCATGACGGGTGACACCCACAAAAGATGAGAGTAATTGTAGGGAGCCCTGAAGGCCTGATGAAACGTCGTTTCTTTTCTTTTCAGGTGTTACCTGCATTCATGTGCGGAATGGCATGAGTCTTCACACCCTAACTCAAGGCTTAGAGACATTTACAAAGGCCCAAGCTGGACCCTGAGATCCAGCCCCGTGGATGAGCCTCATTGGAGGCATAAAACTGAAAGGAAATCAGAAAGGAAGACATTTTCAGGTGTATTTGCAAATTATTAAAGTGTATTTGCATGTGACAGAAGAGAACTTACCCACAGTGTGGGTTGTTTCTACTTTTCTAGCGTGTGAACCGGGGTCGGCTGCCCGGAGGTGGCAAGACTGGAGTGTGAGGTCTTAGACTGCGTCAGGTTCTGCCTTATAAACTTGTGGCAAGCCCAAGACTATGATTCCCTTGTGCTCACCCCATCCCCACCCCTCTCCGGAGCTCTGTCAAGAGCATGAAGAACTCTTCCACTGGCCCCAAGTAGTGGGGTGCGTGACCCTGCACATTTCCCTCCAGGAAACAAGTACTTTGTTTTTGGGGGGCGGGGCGGCCTTTTTATATAGTGGAAAATGAAGCGTCCGCTTTAAGAGAAGCGCGTGGAAGTGGGGCTGGAGGCTTGGGTCACGTGATAGAAATGGGCTCGTCTGCGCCTCTTGATGATGTCGTCGCGGTGCCCCAAGGAGGGATTGGCCGAGGCCAGTCTCCGCGTGATGAGACAGGACCCTCCCCGAGAGCAAGGCGGAAGTGTGCGGGCCGCCGCGGGGCGCAGGCGGGAGAGGCTGGGGTCGCGATGAGTGGGCTCGGCCGACTCTTCGGGAGGGGTGAGCCGGGCGAGACTGGTCGACCGGGAGGTGCTGGCCCCAGGGGTCGGGGAGACCGGAGGGGAAGAGACCCGGGAGACAGGCTGTCCCGAAAATCCCGGCCGATGGCCCGGCAAGGCCTTCTCCGGTGCCAGGAGGCCCCGCCTTGTCAGCGAGTCCCCCTCCGTGTGCCGTCCTTCCCCCACCCCCGGAGGGCAGAGCTCGAGGCCCGGGAGGGGACGTGAGAGAAGAGCGTGGCGACTGTGCCGGCTCCCACTGTGTAGGCTTGGGGGATGAGTTTCTGCCTGTTGTCGTGCAGTTCTTTCCAAACCCCTGGTGCTTGCTTTATTCTGGGCAAGAGGGAATCTGAGAGGACGAGGAAAGATTGCCTTCTTGAAGCTCTTATCTGGTGGGCAAAGACAAGCAAAAATCGGCATTTACAGTGTAGTGTGGCAACCCCACTGTGGAGATGTTCCTAAAAACCAGGGGAGCACAGAGGAAGCAGGAGTCTGGGGGCAGTGATCCAGGAGGCTAGAAATGTGCCAGGTGGGGAATTGACATTCTCCAGGAAGAGCTAACTGTATGCAAAAGAGAGGCTGGAAAGAGTATGATATATTCAGGGAAAAGAAGTTCTGGCTGCCCTGTGAGTGAGTGTGTGTGTGTGTGTGTGTGTGTGCGCGCATGCTGAAGGGGAAGAGGAAAGTAGAAGGCAGTGTGGATGGAGAGGTGAATGAGAGCCAGATCATGAAGCACCTTGTTTGTCTTGTTTAAAAAGTTTTCGATTTTATCCTGTAGGCAGTGGAGAGTATGGAAGGATTTTAAGCAGGCAAGGGCCATCAGATTTTTGTTTTAAATAACTCTATTAGATGTGCAGAAGATGAAGGGGAAAATCAAGATCAGACTTTTTTTCCTTTGGCCCCCTGTATTTCATTCAGTTTGATCCTGTAGAGTCAGGACCTTGGGCATCTCCTAGGACAGCAAGAGGAACGGTGATTAAAAAAGGGACTCAGCTCTGGTGAGGGGTGTGACAATGGGGAGGCCATGCATGTGTGGGTGCAGGGGGTGTATGGGAAATCTCTGTACCTTCCACTCAAGTTGCTGTCAACCTAAAACTGCTCTAAAAAATAAAGTCTATTAATTAAAAAAAAAATTAGAAATGAATTGAAAGGCAGCTTGGAATAGCAAAAGAACACTGGCTTTGGATGTCATACTGCCACATTTCAATTCCTGCTCAATCTCTTACGGGTTGTGATTTTAGACAAAAAAATGTAACATCTTTGTGTCTATCTTCATATTTATAAAGTGAAGATAGCACGTTCGCTGTAGAGAGCCATTTTGGGATTAATAATAACAGTCAAGTGCCTAGCACACACTGTGCACTCAGTGATTAGTGGCGAGTATTCTTCCTTCACACAATGTGGGCCTGCTCCATTGGACTCCAGGGAAGAAGGAGAAGGGGCCCACCCCTGAAGAGGCAATACAGAAACTGAAGGAGACGGAGAAGATACTGATCAAGAAACAGGAGTTTCTGGAGCACAAGATTCAACAGGAGCTACAAACGGCCAAGAAGCATGGCACCAAGAATAAGAGAGGTAAGGGGGAAAGGCGCCTTTAGGAGGGCCAGGTGGGCAGCAGGGGCTTCTGGCTCTGATGTTCAGCGTGTGGGCTGGGTCAGCCGCCCTACAGGCTTTGCGGAGGAAGAAAAGACTGGAACAGCAGCTGGCACAAATTGACGGGACATTATCCACCCTGGAGTTTCAGCGTGAGGCCATTGAGAATGCCACCACCAATGTCGAAGTGCTTCGTACCATGGAGCTTGCTGCCCAAGGCATGAAGAAAGCCTACCAGGACATGTGGGTACGGGGGTAGGGAAGGAGGGGGCCCAGGCACTGGGGAGAGTAGCTTGGTATTGTGCTTTGAATCTTACAACCTCTCAGAATGTGAGATCACAGTATAGACACCTCTAATGGCTAGACCTCTGTCCGCCTCCTTGCTTCCTGCAAGAAGATCTCTCTGCTGGCTGGGGCATTCCAGGGAGGAGAGATGATTTCCTAATTGTTAAAGATCCTTCCGAGAAGGAAGTGCAACCTGTCCTCCCCACTGTGGCTTCTTGCCATTTCTCAGCCTCGTCTTGCTCTTTACAATTGTCCAGGGATCTCTTCTACCTGGTAGCCGTAAGTTTATCAGTCTGAGGCCATGGGCAGGAGGGACTTCCTTCTTGTGAGGTGAGAACGTCAGGGGGGTTGTTGCCTAATTTTTTGGCTATATATCTTGTTCTCAGGGACATTGACAAGGTGGATGAACTGATGGCTGACATCACAGAACAGCAGGAGGTGGCCCAGCAGATCTCAGATGCCATTTCTCGGCCTTTGGGCTTTGGAGAGGATGTGGATGAGGTGATTGGAAGTGAGGGGTCAGGGAATATTGGAGAAAAGCATGGGACCAGGCAGAAGGGATGCCCAAAAGAATTGTGCGGCAAGTTCTGGGGAGGAACTCCAGAAGTGGTATGTTTTTAGAAGTAGAAGTTTCCTTTCTTCATCTTGAATAGTCTTGTCGTCCCCCATCCAGGATGAACTGTTGGAGGAGCTAGAGCAGCTGGAGCAGGAGGAATCAGCCCGGGAGTTGTTACCTGTGGATGATAAGGAGGAAGAACCTCCAGTCAAACTACCCAGTGTACCCACCCATGTGCCAGCAGAGCCAGGTACCCAGGGCTGTTCTGTTGTCTCAAGGACTTGAGAGGGTGGGATAGATATGGGGAAGATTATTCCTCAGTCATCCTGCCTCAAAGGAACCAGGCAGAGAGGGCTGCTGCTGCAGTTGCACAGGTTGTTGACTGCATAAGGGCACCTGGCTGAAGGGGAATGGGGACTGAAATCTGGCCTGTGCTCCATTCAGCAAGCTGTGTACCCTGGCTTAGGGCTGCAAACACTGGGAGAAAGGCATCTTTTTCTAACTTGCACAAAGATGCTATGGGAATAGCAGCAGCCCAGCAAGCAGAAGGACCACACCTTTAGGTTCTTTGCTAGGGAGAGAGAATTTAGCAGGCTCTGAGTGTTCTAGCAGGGGATGGTTGGAAGTTTCTGAAGCCTTAACACTTCTTTCTTTCTCTGGGTGTCCTTGTCCCCAAGCTCCCGAGGCAGATGAAGATGCAGAAGCACTGAAGCAGTTGGCTACCTGGGTGTCCTGACGAGTCTGGCCTTGTCTTCTTGACGCTGCCTTTGTTGCTCTTTTCCTTAAGTGCCAAGTGCTGAGCTAAAGGACCATAGCCCTATTGGGAGGTCCTGCTGAGGGTGGTAGTATGACCCTGCCGGAGAAAAGGGTCTGTTGCCCTCCCATCCCTGGCTCAACTCTCAACAAGGATCTTGGTGCGGGAGAGCCCCTGGGCTCCTTTCTCTTTGATAGCACTTACAGTGCCCTTGTTCCCAATAAAATTGGGTGGATGGAGTCCTAGTGCTTCTGCTGCCTGCTCTACACCTGAAACTCTTCCCCTGGTCCTTGGAGCTTTATTTCAAGCAATGAATAATAATGGGAATAATGAAGGAGCATTGGAACATAGAATAAATGGGAGTTTCCAATATCTTAACCTACTGTGTTCCAGGCAGATACTGTTTGATCTTTCAAGTTGGTTTGTCCCAGAGTTGCCTAGTGCTGAGGTTGAGGAAACTGCCATCTGTTACTTAGGACTGTGTGGAGCTGTCTCTGTGTCTTCCCTCATCACTTTGTCCCAATCATGCCTCTGCCAAGACAGGCCCATAATTTACTACCCATTGTCCTTTTGCAAAGCCCCTTTTCAAGGACAGAGAGGGAGAATACAGGGATAAAGTAGTTTTCCTTTATTCAGAACCCATAGGTAAAAGGCTCGGTTTGAACTGGCACTTGTGTGTCTAGGGGCAATAATGCGAGGGGTCATGACTCAGTGGGATTGTCTCAGTAGTGGTTAAGGTGACATTTGGAGGAGGGAGAAGGCACCAAGATAGTTCACGCATCCTGATACCCATTTCTAACGGAACAGTGACATCCCTTTGGATTATAGACAGAGGCAGAGCCATGACCACAGAGCAGCCAGGGCCTCCACCCCACGGCTTGAACATTTAGAGTGCACAGAGATGTAAAACAATGAGCATGTACTTAGTGAGAATGATGAAGCTTCCCAAGGGCAGGTGTTCATCTGAGCACCCCTCCCCATGAGCCACATACAAGCTACATTTTGAATCACAACGTTGACTTAACAGGAGTCTGTTACAGACTCTGGGCAGAAATCCACCTCTTTCCGTCAGCAGTCTTCCCTGCCAAGTTTCCCCTGAGGAAAGAATGTCTTTGACCTCAGCTGATGAAACTAAATCAGAATTAATTTATTTTTGGTATAAAAGATTTTTAGCCCCAGACCCTTCTGCTTTGCTTTTCTCTCAGTCCCCTCCCTCAGCCACTTTCAGGTACTGATTTCCAAGGACTGGCGATTAGTGGTGCTGGGGAACTGGCACATGGCCTCGAGCAGCCTGATCTCATTGGTGGGTTGCTCAGGCTGGAACTTGAGCACCCAGGGATCCTTGATGATGTCCAGGATGGTGGCACGCTTGGTGGCTTGGCATAGCATCTGGAGGACCAGGTTCTAGGGCAGGGGAGAGAGAGGTCTTGGCTGAGCTTGCCCCCATTGTGCCACACTGGCAATGAGCAGCTGGACCTAAGAAAGAAGCAGGATAGCCCATCATGCTACTCTGGTGAGAGGGGCTGTGGCCCCGACGTTATCCTGAAGAGCCAGGCATTTAATTCCCTTGGAAGGGAGGGGAAGGAAGTTTCCTTGGGGGAATCCCCTGCGAAATCCCTTTCTGGCCTAGGGAGAGAGAGGCTGAAACCTGCTTATGACATCGAAGGTGCAGAGCCCTTTGGTTGGCCCTTTAAGCCCTCCCACTATTCTAGGGCAGGGGCAAGGCCTTCCCTAGGGTTGGGAGGCCTAGGTTGGGTATTCCTTCCCTGTGGGTCATCCCTGAGGCCTCAGCCCTTCTGGGGGAGCCAGCACCTTGCACTCCTGGGAGATGGTGTGGTTAGATGGAAAAGTGACCTCCTTCTGAGTCTCTTTCAGCAGCTTCTTGAGATTGGTGTCATCAAAGGGCAGACGGGCAACCACTAGAGTGTAGAGGATGACCCCCATGCTCCAGGTGTCAGACAGGAAAGGGTTGTAGGGCAAGCCCAGCAGGATCTCCGGGCAGGCATAAGCAAAGCTGCCACAGTAGGTCTGGCTGAGGTGGGTAACGCAGTTCGCTTGGCGGTAGGAAGGGCTACTGCGCACAGGCTGGCTAGAAGGCACCGTCTTGGCGAAGCCAAAGTCCGATATCTTCACATTCTCCCGCTTGTCCAGCAATAGGTTCTCCAACTTTAAGTCCCTACCAGCAGCAGAAAGGCTGGGGGTCAGGCTGGGGAGAGGGCTTAGTGTTAGACCGGGAGCTGAAGGGCCACGGGTCAGAGGCTAGAGATGAGGAAAGGCAAAGTGGGAGAGACACCATTATGAGGACACAAGGCAGAGAGGAAGGAAAGCCATGGAGTTGTGAGCAGAGGCCAAAGAGGAGAGAGGATGGTAGCTGAGGATCACTGGGAGCTCACCATCGTATTTCATCAAGTGCTTTGCTCACAGTGGGTACTTAATAAACATTCTTGACCAGATGAATGGATGAAATAAAATAGAGTGAATGAATGGGCCCAGATACAAGGGAAGAAGAAAGGACTGAAAATGGGAGATGTGCATGAAACCCCCTCTAGAGCCCAAAGGCCCCAGTCTGGGTGGCAGCGCCCTCACCGGTGCACAATGCCCTTGCTGTGCAGGTAGGCGATGCCCAGGGTCATCTGGGAGAACCACTTGCCAGCAAGGGGCTCAGAGCAGGCCCCATAGCGCTGGATCCATTCAAGGACGTCACCACCTTGAGCCAGCTCCAGAATGATGTATACCCGGGATGTGGTCTCGATGGCCTGATAGAAGTTGATGAGGTACTTGTGCCGCAGGACCTTCATTACCTGGCCCCGGGAGAGAGACCCATCAAACCTGGGAAGGGAGAACCCTGCCTGTGCTCCCAGCCCTCCTAGTCTCCCACTGCCACTTCCTTAGAACTTTTCAACAGAATCAAACCCGAGGGCAGGTGGCCTGGAGGCAAGCCCTATGCTTTGCACTTTTACTTTTTGAGGGGCTGGAGGTGACTGGGTAGGTGGAAAGAGGTTAAATTTACATCAGGTAATTTTCGTAGCTGCTTAGTGAGACATTCAGTTCTGGTTTGGGGGTTTCTGGTCCCACCCTCTCCTAACCATATCCCCTCTGAGAAGCCTTAAGCAGCTTGGTACCAGTTCCGTCTTCCAGCCCCCCTTTCCAACCTGTATCTCGCGGGGCAGGAACTTGTTAAGATAGTCCTCGGACGCCTTCTTCTTTGAGATAATCTTGACAGCCACCATGACCTTCTGCTTTGTGTAGTAAGCCTCGTACACCGTCCCATAGGAGCCATTGCCAATAACCTTGCCCACCTCGTAACCATACTCCTCCATGACAGAGCGGTAGGCTGAGGTGGGAGGTGCTGCCTCCAAGGTGTTTCCCTTCCCCATGGTGTTGGGCTTGCCGCGAGCAGGGAGCTTTGCTACTTAAAAGCCTCCTGCCTGCTCAGAAAGCCAACACCTCGATATACCAAGGGCTAGGGTACCACAGTGAGGTTAGTCTCTGAGTGCTTGCCTGTGTAGTCACACAAGTCTGGGATGCTGGACTTGGCTCTCCACCAGGAATTTGGAGGAGGAAGAAGGGAGAAGCAGTTCTTTTTGTCTTGACTGGCTGTTGTTACTTTTGCCTCTTGGTTACGGAACTCCCCAAGGTCCCACATTCCAAACACATCACAATTCACCTTCTATCCACCACTGGCCACAAAGCTGGAAAATGAAGTGCAGTTTGGAACATATTCAGTCCTGGAGGCACCTTCCGAATCTGGTGAGACTCCCTCCACAGATCTGACCCCTTCAACCATTCATGTTTATTGAGCACCTATTGTGTGCCTGGCAGCATGCTGAGTACTGGGATAAAATAACCAGTAAGGCCAATAGAGACCCTATACTCCTAGAGTTTGTAGTCCAGCATAAGAAACACGTGAGTGTGAGAATATCACAGAGAACTGCAAGGTGTTGTAGAAGCATGTTCTAAGGAATCCAGCTCTAAAATGCATTTTTTTTTTTGGCTTAAAACCATTTTTTTTTTGCAAATTGAGCTGGGCTCAGTTGGGTGGTTCCTCTGGTGGTCTCTTCTCAGCTAGGATGGTTTCTTTCTGCTGCCTATGGTCTCATTATCCAACCTACTAGCCCGACTTCCTTAAAGAGCAGCACTACATTTCGTAAGAAAAAAGAAACTGCATGACTAATTGAGGCCTAGGCTCCAAAATCACAAAGCATCACTTCCATACCTTTATATGAGTAAAGACAGTTACAAGGTTTCAAGGATCACTTAGATTGAAGGGGTGGAGAAGTAGACTCCAAATCTTAACCTTGAAATGCATTTTTTTTTTTTTTTTAGGAAGATTGGCCCTGAACTAACATCTGTTGCAAATCTTCCTCTTTTTTTATTCTCTCCAAAGCCCCTGTATGTATTTGTAATCCTAGTTGTAAGTTCTTCTAGTTCTTTTACATGGGATGCCACCACACAGGGCTTGATGAGTGGTGTGTAGGTCTTGTGCCCAGGGTCTGAACCGCTGAAGCAGGGCACATGAACTTAACCGCCAAGCCACTGGGCTGGCCCCTGAAATGCATTCTTATTTGCCTTCCATGACCTTGAACCCTGTAGTTTTCCTCTCATCCTTCTAGCCATTCCTGACTCCAGTGGAGCCTCATCTTCCTCCATCCATCCCTTAATCATATTCCAAGGGTTCTATCACAGGGCTTATTTCCTCAGACCTTTACATCTTCCCTTAAGGATCTCATCTACTCCAAAGATTTCAATTACTACATTAATGCTGACTGCTCCTAATCTCATCTTTGTCACAGATATCTCTAGAGTTCCAGATCGAGCATCCAGTTGCTCACTGAACATCACATGGACGTCTTCCCCAGGCACCTTAAACTCACCATGTCCAAAATTGAATTCCTTATTTTCTTCCCCCAGACTTCCTCTTTCTGTGAGTTGTATACTAGTTGTCCTCAGTTTAGACACTTCCCTCTGCCTTAGCCCCTACATTCCAATCTGCCACCAAATCCTATCTCTTCTACCTTCTAATTGTCTCTTTAATAATACATTCAAATTTCTCCAAGCCCACTGCCACTACCTTAGTCCAAGCCTCCATCATTTCTTAACTGATTGCTCTAGCCAAGCTTTCTGCTCTCCTCTAGTCTGATCACCCTGCAGTCCAAGGCATGAATCTGATTTTATTCCCATTTAAAGCAGGATCAACTCCAAATTCTTTTATATAGCTTTACTATTTAATTCTGCATGCCTCTCCAATTTTATCTTTTAAGATACACACAATGCTCCAGCCAAACACAACTGAGCTTCGCCTTCATCGTTCCCTCTGTTCTGGCAAATTCCTACTCTCCCTTCAGGACTTAGCTCTTGAGCTGTGTTAAGGAAGGCTTTGCTGACTGCTCAAGCCCAAATTAGATGTTCCCCCTTCGTGGGTGCTCCCACAGCCCCAATACTTTCTCTGTCACAGTACCTAACGCAGTGTCTGTTATTGCTTTTTTGCTTACATCTCCCACTAGGCTCTACGGGAGGTCAACTGACAAGAGGGAGATAAGTTAGAGGTCTGAGAAGAATGGGTTGTGGAGAATGGAAGCGAGCCGATTTGGAAAATGAGCAGGATCACTGGGCAGCATGGAGGCATAACTGAGGTTGAAGATCACAATTTATAGACACATGATCTTAACACATCAGAGTGTTAAGCTTCCTTTAGCATCCTGGGTATAGGTGCTTGAATGTTGACAGATGAGTTGATCCATCATTGAGGTTTCACTTGGCAGCTGCAGTGAAACAATGGGAGAGAGACATGAAGAAGACAGGCAAGAACGTGGCTGAAATGATGGAATGCGTAACCTAAGCTGCACGGGTTAGGAAGACAAACTAGAAAAAGACCAAAGGGGCAGCGGGAGGGGTCACAGTTCTCAGTGAAATGGAAGAACAAGGTTGGTGGGAATGACAGAGGACAAAAGGTTGTGGTCATAGAGGTCTAGATTTAAGATTGTGTGTGGGGGGGAGGGTAAGGGGGCTTGCAGAGGAAAGAACAAGGGAAGAATCAGATTTCTTTTATCTTCCATCCTCCAAAACAAAAATGCCAACAACAGATTATGCCATAGGCTACAGGAAAATTCCCATTTATTGGCAGCCTGACCCTGCTGGCCGGATGGTTCCAAAGTCCTGTTGGAATCCAGATCTACACCCTCAGTCTATCAAGATGAGAGGTAGTCCAGGGCACACTCAACCCCACCCATCTTCCGTTCTCCTGGATAGGTAGCTGGCCCCTTGGATAGGTACCTTGGTGACAGCTCTGTTCTCATCATGTATAGGGGGTAAACCAGTTCATTCAAGGAATGTGCATTAAGCTGCCTCCTATATACAAAAACACTGCTAGGTCCTGAGGATACCAAGATAGATAAATTATAGACTTCCTGTGCGGAGTTCGCAATTAGCAAGGGAGACAGACCCATAAGAAGTAAAATAACAGTACAGTGAGACAAAGTGCTATAAACAAAGACTGGAAGGAGATCAAGGGAAGACTTTATAGGGAAGGTGGCCTTTGCACGGCTCAGAGAAGTCTCCAGGCAGGTACGCAGGAATGGTAGATTGGGCAGTCTGGTAGAAGGAACTAAACGAGGCTTATGAGCTTGAGAGAACATGACATCTGAGATTTCAATGTAAATACAGGTTAGGGTTTCAGAAGGGGAATGTACCTGGAGAAGTAACTAAGCTCCAGGTCTGAGAGGCCTCAACTGCCAGCTTTTTGGACTTTATCTTATGTGCTCATGGCCTCAATGTGGTGTGCATCAAAATCAGAGCTTGTTAAAAATACTGATGCCCAGTTACCACCTCCCCCAAGATCCTGATTCGGTGAGACCCAGGTATCTATATTTTTAATAAGCTTCTAGCTGAATCTGATGCATACCAAGATTTGAGAACCACTGTCGCAGCAAATCGGACACCTTTAAGATTTAAAAAACAAAATCCTTGCAGCAGTAATGTGGAAAATGGATTCAAGAGGGGAGGTGAGGAGATTAGCAAGGTGGCTGTCATGGTAATTTAAGTCAGAGGATGGGGCCTGAACCAAGGCAGCCGTGGAGGGCAAGTATTTGGAAGTGATAAGACATATGCAGAGGTGGCTTGGTGGCATTGATCTGAGTGGGGAGGTATTGAGAAAGAGGTCTGGGGTTTCTGACTTTAGAGACCAGGTGGTTGTCACTTAAAGACTATTCCAAAGCTACTCTAAGTTACTTTTCTAATTACAAAATCTACCAATTGTCTAGAAAACTCAACCTCCTACTTCCTGGAACCTCACCTCCTCCTGCAGGGAGGGGGGCTGGGTCAGAGGGCAGAAGTGTGTAAATGAAGGACTTTTCAGGTCAGCAGCCAATTGTGGTTTTCCACTATACTACTTTCCCTCGGGGAGAGGGAACCTTAAGTCAGCTTCCTTATGGGTAATCCAAAGGGAAATCACTGCCCCTGGGTGTCATCTCCAGGCGTCCTCCCCCAGTGGCAGATCCCCTTAAAATAGCTGAGATGGACAAGGATAAACTTTTCCAGAATAACCTGCATTACACAATTAAGAGGAGTCCAAACACATACACACAGATAATTAAGAACAAAAACATTGAAAGAGATGAAAGTATGGCAAGCTTCTTTACCTCCAAGTAACAATAACCCTGTCAGGCCGCCCATCTCACAGGGGAAAAGGGCAGACGCTCTCTCTCTTTGCGTGCCTCTACACCCGACCAGGCTCAGGCTTGCCCATCGTAGGATAAGGGACGGTCATTACACGGCCAGGGAGGAGACCTCCGGTACGGCCTTGGGAAGCTATTTTTATGTATGTGTTTGTTTTTTGGCGGGAGGCAATTCATGACGGGTGGGAGAGAAGCGGTGAGGTGAGATCCAGACTCTAGGACCTTTGCACGGGCTGTCCCCTCGCTGTCCTGAAATAGCGACGCCCAAAGCCTCACCCCGCCCGGGTTGGAGACCGTGAACCGCCCCTCAGGTCTCTGCCTCAGCAGTCGCTGGCGAGTCCCACCGGTTGTGCCGGCCACTGCTGCGGGCACCCACTAGGTGTGGGCCCGGGGGCCGCCCGCTCCGTCTCCTGGACAGTCACTGGGGGCGAGCGGCGGGCACCGCTCTCAGGTCTCCGCCCCAAACCTTCCTGGGGACGGACGAGTAGCCCGGCAGAGACTCTTAATCTGAAGGGGCGTCTGCGTCCTCGCGGCCCGGCCCCGGCCCCGGCCCGAGCCCCAGTCGCGGGAAACCGCCGGCGGAGCGCCTCCGCGGCTGCGGCAGTGGGGGCGCGGCCACCAGCTCCAGGAAAAGAGCTGTCCGCCCGGCTGAGGTCCCCGCGGGCGAGGGCGGAAGTGGTAAGACCGACGTGTCCCGGGCTGCTCTCCTGCTCGCCGGGAGGACCCCCGCGGAGGGACGGGCCGGTCGAGCCTCGCGGCGTCTCCGGAGCGGCGCCGGGCCTCCGGCGGCAGAGAGCTCATCCGGGAGCACTTCACCGAGCCGAGGGCCGTGTCCCTGGCGGGGCGGCCGCAGCCGCTGCTATCAGGCACAGAGGCAGCCAGCCGTGGAGGTCGGAAGGCGGGTCCTCTCCGGGCCGCCGCTAGCGCGCCGCTCTGGGGGAGACCCCGGCAGGAGCCCAAGGGCAGCTGCGGGGTCGCAGAGGCCGCTGGCGCCGCCTCGGCCAGCCCTCCCCGCGCGGTGAGGACCCCGGGGCTGCGGCGGGAAGGGGCCCGAGGCGCGAGGCCGCGTGGCGTTGCTATGGAAACGGGTTGGGGCGCGCGGAGAGGTCCCCGGCTGGCGGGCTGCGGGAGGGGGGAACCCCAGGTTGAGAAGACTAGACAGTAGAGGGGCCCAGGAGCCCCGTCTGCAGGATAGAGCGACATGGGGGGGGGGGGGGGGGGGGGGGGGGGGTCAGGAGGTGGCCTCCCGAGGGACCAGGGACGATGGGAGAGGCCAAGGGGAGGAATTGGAGCCTTTGGGCGTCAATTCGAAGGACCTGACCTGGGGCATCTTGAGTTGATCCCTGGTTTCCATAACCGCAGGACTCACCCAAACAGGTTCTGCTGCCTTAAGGATGACAGTCCTAGGGCACCCTCGAAGTTGGAGCTGCCAGTGGTTGCCACTCCTGATGCTGCTGCTGGGCACAGGCCATGAGCCAGGGGCAGAAGGTGTGACACACTACAAGACCGGCGACCCCGTCATTCTATATGTCAACAAAGTGGGACCCTACCATAACCCTCAGGAGACTTACCATTACTATCAGCTTCCAGTCTGCTGCCCTGAGAAGATCCGTCACAAAAGCCTTAGCCTGGGTGAAGTGCTGGATGGGGACCGAATGGCTGAGTCTTTGTATGAGATCCGCTTCCGGGAGAATGTGGAGAAGAGAATTCTGTGCCACATGCAGCTCAGTTCTGCACAGGTCAGCCTCTCCACACTGGCTAGAACTTAGGCCTCCCTGCCAGGGGCTAACAGCAGTGCCTGATGTTTATGGTTTTCAAAGCACCTTTATGGAAGTGATCTGACTTGACTCTAACTACAACCCCATGTGGCAGGCAGGGCAGGTGGTATTATTTGCATTCAGTTGACAGAGAAACCTACTTGCTCAGAAGTGACTTTTTCAAGACTACATGGTGAATTACAACTAAAATTAGCTATAATGTGAGATCCCAGGGCTCCTGACTCCAGGTTTCTCTGTTGGTAATAAGGTCCCATCTATCACTCCTAGAGAGCTTCCTTCCATACCTACCTCGTGGCTCTTTCTCAGTTGGCTCCTTTACACTCTGCCTAGTCTTCCTGTCATGCTTCTTTCTTGAGCACATCCTACCTTAGGGCACTTTTCCTTAGTCTATCCCAGACCTTCGTACCCCTTGCCTCACTCCTTTTTCTAGGCCTTAACCCTGTTAAGTCACACTTGCTCTTGTTGGAGAATCCCAGCATATTAGGGTCTAACCCAGTGGTTCTCAACAGGGGGCAGTTTTCTCTCCTAAGGGATGTCTGACAATGTCTGGAGATATTTCTGATTGTCAATACTAGGGGTTCTACTGACATCTAGTGGGAAGAAGTCAGGGATGGTGCATCTTACAATGCACAGGAAAGCCCCACACAGCAAAGGCTTATCCAGCCCAAAATGTCAGTAGTACCAAGGTCGAGAAACCCTGCTTTAACTCTGAGCCTGGGCAGGCCTTGTCTGACTCCTGACTTGCTCTTTGTAGGTGGAACAGTTGCGCCAGGCCATCGAGGAACTGTACTACTTTGAATTTGTGGTGGACGACTTGCCACTCCGTGGCTTTGTGGGCTACATGGAGGAGAGTGGCTTCCTGCCTCACAGCCACAAGATAGGACTCTGGACCCATCTGGACTTCCACCTAGAATTCCATGGAGATCGAATTATATTTGCCAATGTCTCAGTGCGGGACGTCAAACCCCACAGTTTAGATGGGTTACGACCTGATGAATTCTTAGGCCTCACTCACACATACAGTGTGCGCTGGTCTGAGACTTCTGTGGAACGTCGGAGTGACAGGCGCCGTGGTGACGATGGTGGTTTCTTTCCCCGGACACTGGAAATTCATTGGTTGTCCATCATCAATTCCATGGTGCTTGTGTTTTTACTGGTGGGTTTTGTGGCTGTCATTCTCATGCGTGTGCTTCGGAACGACCTGGCTCGGTACAACTTGGATGAGGAGACAACCTCTGGAGGTTCTGGTGATGACTTTGACCAAGGTGACAATGGCTGGAAAATTATCCATACAGATGTCTTCCGCTTCCCTCCATACCGTGGTCTGCTCTGTGCTGTGCTTGGTGTGGGTGCCCAGTTCCTGGCCCTTGGCACTGGTGAGGTGATAAAAATTAATCAGGGATTTCTCTCAAGGGGTAGGACTAAGTAGGCAGCTTGTTCAGAAAAGACCTGCAGATCTTCACTTCTGTCCAAGGTGAGGGGAAGTCCTAAGGGTGGGGTGGCTCTAGCAAGGACGTGTATATCCTGTTGTGGGGTTTCTGGACAACAGAATTGGGGGATATTGTTTTGCTGGAGGCCCTGGGTCTGGGAGAAAGGGGGCTGATTCCTCTGAAATTGCCAGAAGAGGGATAGGTGAGACCTAACACGGGCTTTCCACTACCACCCACAGGCATTATTGTCATGGCGCTGCTGGGCATGTTCAATGTGCACCGGCACGGGGCCATTAACTCAGCAGCCATCTTGTTGTACGCCCTGACTTGCTGCATCTCTGGCTACGTGTCCAGCCACTTCTACCGGCAGATCGGAGGCGAGCGTTGGGTGTGGAACATCATTCTCACCACCAGTCTCTTCTCTGGTGAGGACTGCCCTTTCCCTGGTGGGCCGACTTAGGAACTTCGAACACATCATGGAACCTGGGACAGAGTCAGAGTAAGGCTTTAAGGAAATGAAAATAGGCAAAAGAAACAATAAGAAAAACCATTCAAAAGTCAAGAAGCATCCCTTGTGTGCAGTTAAAAATTATTAAGCTCTTAAAATGTCCTAGGGGGCCAGCCTGGTGGTGCAGCAGTTAAGTGCACATGTTCTGCTTCGGCGGCCCGGGGTTCGCCAGTTTGGATCCCGGGGGCAGACATGGCACCACTTGTCACACCGTGCTGTGCTAGGCGTCCCACATATAAAGTAGAGGAAGATGGGCACAGATGTGAGCTCAGGGCCAGTCTTCCTCAGCAAAAAGAGGAGGATTGGCGGCAGATGTTAGCTCACGACTACTCTTCCTCAAAAAAAAAAAAAAAAAATTAAAAAAATGTCCTAGGCAGCGTGGTAAGCACTCAACACGCCTTCATCTCATTTCATCCTCACAACGACTATATGAAGTAGGTAATATTGTCCCCATTTTACAGATGAGGAAATTGGACTTCAGGCTGGACTGAGTTAAGTAACTTGCCTGAGATTACACTCCTAAAAAGCAGTGACCCAGGTTTCAGACCCAGGCAGTCTGACTCTTGAGCTTGTCTTCTCAACCATCACACTGAAATAATTTGAATTTATTTTTTGATACTCTCTTTGTTTTTATTTTTCAGTTTTTTTGTTTTAGAGGTGGGCTACCCCACTCTAGCCTTTGAAGTCAGTATGCCCTTTCAAAGGCAGTATTAGTTTCCATTCTGAACATTTTGTGTTCCCAGTCCTAAATGTATGATTTATATTCCATCACATTTATGTTTGAACCAGGGCTTCCTGAAAACAGGGCCTTAATCCAAAGGAGTGGCTCATGCTAGGAATCACTGATGCCACAGCAGGATAGGCCCTTGGAGGCAGGTGGGTTTATGTCACTGTTAGCTCATTATGTTACAGCTGCCTTGATCCTTAATGATGATGGATAGGGGAGGGGGTGTTGGTCAGATAAGGAAGAAGGAACAACAAGACATGAAAGGGTAGAGTCTAGGAGCAGGACGTCCCATGCCACTCCCCTATACGTCCAGTCTGATTGGGTGCCCCCAGGGATGTAGCCTGTAGTGCTGACTCTCCCATTGGGGGCCCATCCTGCAGTGCCTTTCTTCCTGACGTGGAGTGTGGTGAACTCGGTGCATTGGGCCAATGGTTCGACACAGGCTCTGCCAGCTACCACCATCCTGCTGCTTCTGACGGTTTGGCTGCTGGTGGGCTTTCCCCTCACTGTCATTGGAGGCATCTTCGGGAAGAACAACGCTAGCCCCTTTGATGCACCTTGTCGCACCAAGAACATCGCCCGGGAAATCCCACCCCAGCCCTGGTACAAGTCTACGCTCATCCACATGACTGTTGGAGGCTTCCTGCCTTTCAGGTATCCTCCTTTTATTCCGTGGCCATCACTCGCAGGTTCCTGACCTTAACTGTTCCTTTCCCCACTCACCCCATGCCCTAACCCAACACCAGCGATAATCCCTGGTTCAGCCATACCACTAAGATCACTCAATGCCTCCTCCTTTCTCCAAGCAGGACTGAGCTTGAATCAGTTCAAATATGAAGGTGTCTCACGTGTAAAGCTCTCCAGAGACGTTGCTCCTTTCGCCATCTGCCTGGTTTCTGACTTTAGTGTCTACAGGCACCTTGTGGGGCTTAAAGCCCGTTTGATTACTCATTCAGTTTTGTTGAGTACCTCTTAGTGTCAGGCAGATAATACAGTGGAAAATAAAACAGACATGATCCCTGCTCTCAACTTATCAAAGGAGATGTTCTTGAAATGAGGTAAAAGAGTCCCCATCAAGCCAGGAGCTCCAGGGCAGGGAATGCAATGGGTCCACTTTCCACAGTGACCCAGTAGCATGGAGGGGTCGTGGCTGGATTTTGGCTTGGCTGCTGTGCTGGCAGTGCACAGCCTTTTAATGCTGTGTGTCGTGTCTTCTCTTCACAGTGCCATCTCTGTGGAGCTGTACTACATCTTTGCCACAGTATGGGGTCGGGAGCAGTACACTTTGTACGGCATCCTCTTCTTTGTCTTCGCCATCCTTCTGAGCGTGGGGGCTTGCATCTCCATCGCGCTCACCTACTTCCAGTTGTCTGGAGAGGATTACCGCTGGTGGTGGCGATCCGTGCTGAGTGTCGGCTCCACGGGGCTCTTCATCTTCCTCTACTCGGTTTTCTACTATGCCCGGCGCTCCAACATGTCAGGGGCGGTACAGACAGTAGAGTTTTTCGGCTACTCCTTACTCACCGGTTACGTCTTCTTCCTCATGCTGGGCACCATCTCCTTCTTTTCTTCCCTAAAATTCATCCGTTATATCTATGTTAACCTCAAGATGGACTGAGTTTTGGGTGGCAAAACTATTGCTCTTCTCTCCCTTTCTTCACGCCCCCTTGATCTCTCTTACCAACATCTCCTCTGATGGAGTGACTGAATTGTGTGATGGCATTGTTGCCTTCCCCTTTGCCCTTTGGGCCTCCCGTCCCGAGAGGGCCTGGAAATTATAAATATTATATAAGGAGTATATATTTGAACTTTTTAAGTTGTCTTTAGTTTGGGTCCTGATTTTTCTTTTTACAATTATCAAAATAAAATTTATTAAGAAAAAGGATCCTGTAGTTGGAGGGTTTGGTCTGGATATAGGAACTCGAGCCCTGCCGTCCAGGGCACTGTCCCTTAGACCGCCGGGTCGGCCGCGGAATGCAGAGAACTCGGGTTCTCCACGGAGCTTGGGAACTCTCGGCTGGGGGAACCCACATCGCTAGGGCCCTGTTTCCGCGGCTCAGCCGGCGCTCAGCCCACCGGAAATGGCGGAGCCGGAGCTCTTTGTGCGAAGCGAGTTGAATCACCCTGGCGACGGGAGGGGCGCGGAGCAGCGCCCTTTCCGCCGGAAGTGGGTTTCAAAGTCTCCACGTGCTGTCCCTCCCCCTCCCGGCCTGGTAGCGGCGGCTCCGCTGCTGCCATGGAGCCGGCCGGCCTGGAGCAGATCCTGCGGGAGCTGCTGCTGCCAGACACCGAGCGCATCCGCCAGGTATGGGGCAGGCGGGCCGGACCCGGCCGGGGCGAGCGAGAGGCTGGGGGCCGGGGCCGACTCTGACCCCCATCCTCTCCCCAGGCCACCGAGCAGCTCCAGACCGCTCTTCGGGACCCCGCCGCCCTGCCCGCGCTCTGCGATCTGCTGGCTTCGGCGCCCGACCCTCAGGTGAGGCTCCTGTCCTTCCCTCTGGGCTTCCTGCCTCTACGCCACTGGTCAAGCCCCAGCTCCTGCCCCCTGCGGCCCTCTCAGCACCGCCCTGCCGGACCCTCACGTGCCTGCTCCCTCCTCCCAGATCCGCCAGTTCGCGGCCGTTCTGACCCGCAGACGACTGAACACCCGCTGGCGACGGCTGGCGGCGGAGCATCGGGAGAGGTGGGCTGGGCCGGGGGCGGGGCGGGGCCAGGCTGAGGCGGTTCTGGGGCGGGCCCAGTACCAAACACCTGCCACCTGTGTTCCAGCCTCAAGTCCCTGGTCCTGGTGGCCCTCCAGAGAGAGACAGAGTAAGTGCCTACCCGCCTTCTCTTGGGATCCTAATTGAGTCCAGGTTGAGACCGTCTCTGGGTTTCTGCGTTCTCTTTCAGCTTGGGGCTGGGATCTGGGGGGCAGGGACTTCAGTTCTACACCAAGGGTGGAGCAAGGATTCTCAGGCTGTGTCGAAGACTGAAGTTGTTGAGAATGGACTGTGATGGTCTGCCAAACCTGAGTCAGAAGAATGGAACTGAAATTCAGTCTGAGTAAAGCCAAGCTCACCAAATTACACACCCACCATGTTGCTGGTTTTGTGCTGAGCTGCTGTCTTAAATGTCCCAACTTGGCAAAGACCTTGTGCCCACATCTGGAGGGTTCTCTCCTCGCCACCGATGGAGGCAGGGCCAGTGTGTGCAGGGGAGGGTATTGGAAGGTGATTGGGGGTGGGGGGGCAATCTCTCCTGTTTGCAGGCATTCTGTGTGCCTTAGCCTGGCCCAGCTCTCAGCCACCATTTTTCGAAAGGAAGGCCTGGAAGGCTGGCCTCAGCTCATGCAGCTTCTTCAGCACAGTACCCACAGCCCCCACATCCCGGAGAGAGAGGTACTATCACATAGTTGGCGAGAGGGAGGGACTGAGAGGCTGGATAGACCACGTAAGCTTTTCCCTCTCATCTCTTATTCCTGCACAGATGGGGCTTTTGCTGCTAAGTGTGGTAGTGACCTCCCGGCCTGAAGCCTTCCGACGCCACCACCGGGAGCTTCTTCGGCTTCTGAATGAGACCCTGGGTGAGGTGGGCTCTCCCGGGCTCCTCTTCTACTCCCTGCGCACTCTGACCACCATGGCCCCTTACCTCGGCACTGATGATGTGGTGAGACATGGGCCCTCACCTTCCTTGGCTCCCTGTCCTCAGGCCTTCATGTCCTCACTCTTGCAGGCTGCAGAGCTCCTTCAGATTCTTTCTCTGCCTTTTGTCCTTCTAACAATTGAGACGGGGTGCTGTGGGCGGCTGTGCCTGGGGTCCTCCTGTGTCCAGGCTTTGAGGAAGCTGCCAGCTTCTGAGGCCTGAGATTAGGCTGCGTCGTGCTTTCTGTGATTCAGCTCATCCTGTGTCCTCCAGCCTCTTGCACGGATGTTGGTGCCCAAGCTCATCGTGGCTGTGCAGGCTCTGATCCCTGTAGATGAGGTGAGGACATTTGGGCAGGAGCCCTGTTGGAAGGAGAGTACAGGAGCATCCAGCCTGGCCCACTGAAGAAGAGCCTGGTAACCCTATGACTCGTCTATCTGTCTGGCAGGCAAAGACCTGTGAGGCCCTGGAGGCCCTGGATGAATTGCTGGAGTCAGAGATGCCCATCGTCACCTCCCACCTCTCAGAGGTCCTCACCTTCTGCCTGGAGGTGAGCCTGGGGTAGGCACATCCCCTGCTGCTTGTTCTGCTGCGAGTTTCCATGCCTGTCTCTGATTTGTGTTGGTCTCTGGGCAGGTGGCTAGAAATGTGGCCCTGGGCGATGCAATACGTGTGCGAATTCTCTGCTGCCTCACTTTCTTGGTCAAAGTCAGGAGCAAGGTGAGGGCCCTGTTGCACATCACCCTACCCCCATGTCCATCCCTCGTCTCACTCCTGGGGCTTTCTGTCCATCCCAGGGTGTCTAAAAGACCGTAGCTAAGATGTTCGAGACTTGGTTTGGCCTTACCCCAGCTCCTGGCTGGGCGATTGGGAATCTCCTGCCAGACCCCTTGTGGCCTGGAAGGTTAGAATTTTTAATGTGATTCCATGTTGGGAGCAGATTCTCAGGGATACCATTTCACCCTCCCTCTGAAGGCCTTACTGAAGAATCGTCTTCTGCCATCCTTGCTGCACACCCTTTTCCCCATCATGGCTGCCGAGCCCCTGCTAGGCCAGCTGGATCCTGAGGACCAGGATTCGGATGAGGAAGAGCTGGAGATTGGCCTGGTTGGGGAGACTCCCAAGCACTTTGCTGTACAGGTGGGATGTGGGACAGCAGCAGGGGGCAGGGCGTTAGATGGCTGTGGGAGGTTGGGGACAGAGATGGGGTCCAGCAAAGTCGTCCTGTCTTTGTTAGGTTGTGGACATGTTGGCGCTACATTTGCCCCCCGAGAAGCTCTGTCCCCTGCTGGTAAGTGTGGCTTGGTCCTTCTAGTGCCACTACCCCTCAGATGTGCCTAGTCCCCCCAAAGCTGAGGATGTCTGGGCCAGTAGGTTTGGAGGGCCTGTTGCCACAGGAATGGGCATGCTCATGCCAGGGTTCTACCTGCTCCCCTAGATGCCCATGCTGGAAGAGGCCTTGCAGAACGAGAACCCCTACCAGCGCAAGGCTGGGCTCCTGGTGCTGGCTGTGCTGTCTGACGGAGCTGGCGACCACATCAGGCAAAGGTGTTTATTCCCTTCTTGGAGTGAGGGGAGGGTGGGCCATGGGGAGGAGGACCACATGGCCCATGGCAGTCCTGGTCTATGCTTGTCATTTGGGCCTGACTATCAATGGCATATCCCCCGACTCTCCAAAGTGTCCTGGTTTGGGAGATAAATGGCAGCCGTAGCTATAGGGACCACGGGGTGGTGCCCACCATCTGGTGACAGAGAAAGCCTCAGTTTTCCCCAGGAAAACAGGAGCATGGACTCTCGGGTCCTCTCCCTCAGACTACATCCTCTTGTCCTACCCTGTCCAGACTGCTGCCCCCACTGCTGCAGATCGTGTGCAAGGGCCTGGAGGACCCATCACAAGTTGTACGCAATGCTGCGCTGTTTGCCCTGGGCCAGTTCTCAGAGAACCTACAGGTCAGCAAGGCTGAATGTGGGCGCCCGCATTTCAGAGTCCCCACCCATCCCAGGGACCAGCTTTCCCTCAGCTTCATCTCTCCAGGCATCCCTGCTGCCATCAGTGCTTAGGTGTGTGCCCTGCGGTTGAGCTGACTCAGGGCCCTCTTTCTCCTTCCCCTAGCCCCACATCAGCAGCTATTCAGGGGAGGTGATGCCACTGCTCCTCGCCTACCTGAAGTCAGTGCCTCCCAGGCAAACACAGCACCTAGCCAAGGCCTGCTATGCCCTGGAGAATTTCGTGGAGAACCTAGGTAGTGATGGCGGTTGGGGTGCAAGGGAGAAGAGGGGGCTGTGGCTTTGGCTGAAGGGGCAGGATGTGCGGCTCCCTGAACCACTGCCTGAGGTGGGGAATGGGGTGTCGTGGGACCATAAGGAGGGTCAGTCTGGAGGCAGAGGTAGGAGATCCAGGTTGGTTGTTGGAGGAGGACCTTTTCCCACAGGGCCTAAAGTGCACCCCTACCTTCCGGAGCTTATGGAGTGCATGCTGCAGCCTCTGAGGAACCCCAGCAGCCCCCGGGCCAAGGAGCTGGCTGTGAGCGCCTTGGGGGCCATTGGTGAGGAGGAGGCAGGAGGTGGGGCCCGGGGTTCACCCAGGGAGCCTGTGGCAGGCAGTCCCTGCCCCCCTTCCAGCTCTGATCCTGTCCTTCCATCCTGCAGCCACGGCTGCCCAGGCCTCCCTGCTGCCCTACTTCCCCACCATCATGGAGCACCTGCGGGAATTCCTGCTGACAAGCCATGAGGACCTCCAGCCTGTGCGGATCCAGAGCCTGGGTGAGTAGGGGCTCCCAGCAGAGTTCCCAGTACTGGGGGAGGGCTGATGCTCATCTAGTGTTCACAGAGATCTCCTCAGGAGAGATCTCCCCCAGGAGAGATCTCATGGAAGAAGATACTCTTCACGCTATACCTAGGAGTAGGTGGGGTTTCTGAATTCCCCGCAGCTGCCACCTTTGGTGCCCCAGGTCTTCACCCAGCACACCTCTGGTCCAGCTCCACATCCTGGTGCTAACCAAGCCCTTGCCCCCACAGAGACACTGGGGGTGCTGGCACGAGCAGTGGGGGAGCCCATGAGGCCCCTGGCTGAGGAGTGCTGCCTGCTGGGGCTGAGCCTGTGCGACCAGGTAGACGACCCTGACTTGCGGCGCTGCACGTGAGTGAGCCCTCACCCTGCCCCGGGCCGTGGTTTCCCCCGGCTACCCCATCCTGTCTGGCTACAGTAGGCAGACTTGACAGCTTCCCCCTGCCTCCACCAGGTACAGCCTGTTTGCAGCCTTGTCAGGGCTGATGGGTGAGGGCCTGGCACCCCACCTGCCACAGATCACCACGCTCATGCTGTTGTCGCTGCGTTCCACCGAGGGCATTGTGGTGAGCAGAGAGTGGGTGGACCGGGCTGACTGGGGAAGGCCAGCCCTGCGATGGGATTTATCTCCTGGGCCCAGCTGAGCCAGGGTCCCTGCTGTGCCTCCTCTGTGTAGCCTCAGTATGACGGAAGCAGCTCCTTCCTTCTGTTTGATGACGAGAGTGATGGGGAGGAAGAGGAGGAGCTCATGGATGAGGATGAGGAAGAGGAGGAAAACTCAGAGATCTCAGGGTGCGGAGAGGTTTCATTCTATTCAGAGGAATCTTGGCTTTGGACAAGGACCCAGTGCTGGATCTGCTCCTACTGGTGCCTGATCGCTGCTGCCTGCCTCCCTCCCTCTAGGTACAGTGTGGAGAACGCCTTCTTCGATGAGAAGGAAGACACCTGTGCTGCCCTGGGGGAGATCTCTGTGAACACCAGGTGAGCCTCGGCCCTTCCCTGGTACTGGGAAACCCACCTGGGAGCCCCTTCCCCATGGCCGTCTGTCTGTCCACAGTGTGGCCTTCCTCCCCTACATGGAGAGCGTCTTTGAAGAAGTATTCAAACTGCTGGAGGTGAGTGGGCCGGTGGGTGAGGTGGGCGTGGTCCGAGGGCTAGGGGGCCCTGTGTTCACCCTGCATACAGTAGGCACATCCTACCCCTGCTCATCTGCAGTGCCCTCACCTGAATGTGCGGAAGGCAGCCCATGAGGCCCTGGGTCAGTTCTGCTGTGCGCTGCACAAGGCCTGTCAAAGCTGCCCCTCAGAACCCAACACTGCTGGTGAGAAGAGGAGGCTGGGGCCTGTGGAGGCGGGGGGGGGGGGGGGGGGCAGGGCCTGCCCGGGGCTTCAGCGCATAATGTCCCCAGCTCTGCAGGCTGCCTTGGCCCGGGTGGTACCGTGCTATGTGCAGGCAGTGAACAAGGACCGGGAGCGCCAGGTGGTGATGGCTGTGCTGGAGGCCCTGACGGGGGTGCTGCGCAGCTGTGGGCCCCTCACACTACAGCCCCCTGGGCGCCTTGCTGAGCTCTGCAGCGTGCTCAAGGCTGTGCTGCAGAGGAAGGTGAGTGAGGCAGGTGGGCTATGGGATGAAGAGGGGGCCTGGCCCCAGGTGGGGATAGTCAGAGCCTACGGGTTCAGCTTCCCCCTACCCCGACCCCATGGGAAGGAGAAGGGGCAGGAGAGCCTGGGCTGAGCTGCGCTCCCTCTTCCCGCAGACAGCCTGTCAGGACACTGACGAGGAGGAGGAGGAGGAGGACCAGGTGAGAGCTCAGGATGCCAACTGGGAGCAGGCAGTTCAGGTGGTCTCCCCTGGGCAGGGTGGACAGTGTACATGCGCCCGGCTGGAGGAGCCAGGTCTGCTAAAGGGTTGGGAAGGGCTCCGAATGCTGCAGCCTTGCTCCTGCTAAGGCAGGGGCGGTTCCGGGAAGGCTTTCTGGAGGTGGGCTTAGATTGCTAGGTGAGAGTAGGAGGGCCAGGGGAAGATGCTGGGCTGCAGACAAGCCCAGCCTGGGAGGGTCCCGTCCTGTCAAGCAAGGGCAGGCCCCAGGGGACCCCCGCAATGGGGGGCCCTGGTGGAAGGTGCCCACAGTCCCAGATCTGGCCCTGGTGCTCCAGCCCGTTCTGGCCCCACAGGCTGAATACGACGCCATGTTGCTTGAGCATGCTGGCGAGGCCATCCCTGCCCTGGCAGCCGCGGCTGGGGGAGACACCTTCGCCCCCTTCTTTGCTGGCTTCTTGCCGTTATTGCTATGTAAGACGGTGAGTGCTCCATTCTCTGACTTTGAACCCCCTTCAGCCTGTGTACTCTGTGCCAAACCAGCTGACTGACACTCCTTCCCCCGCCAGAAACAAGGCTGCACAGTGGCAGAGAAGTCCTTTGCAGTGGGGACGCTGGCAGAGTCCATTCAGGGCCTAGGCACTGCCTCAGCCCAGTTTGTGTCCCGGCTACTCCCCGTGCTGTTGAGCACCGCCCGGGAGGCAGACCCTGAGGTGCGGAGCAATGCCATCTTTGGGCTGGGTGTGTTGGCAGAGCATGGGGGCCGCCCTGCCCAGGAGTATCCTTGGCTTGCCAGGTGAGGTGAGGTTGGGAGGGTGTCCCTGGGGCTTGGCAATGGGAGAGGTCTGCCCGTGTGCCTCTTCCTTGACTGTGGACCAGACACTTCCCCAAGCTGCTGGGGCTCCTGTTGCCCCTCCTGGCCCGGGAGCGCCATGATCGTGTCCATGACAACATCTGTGGGGCACTTGCCCGCCTGCTCATGGCCAGTCCCACAAGGAAACCCGAGCCCCAGGTGAGGAATGGGGGCATCAGGCAGGGCCAGGAAGTGGAGGAGGAGGGTGCAGAGGGTGCAGGGCAAGGGGCCAGAGCCATCTGTGTGTCCAGGTGCTGGCTGCACTTCTGCATGCCCTGCCACTGAAGGAGGACTTGGAGGAGTGGGTCACCATAGGGCACCTCTTCAGCTTCCTGTACCAGAGCAGCCCTGACCAGGTAACCTCGATGTCGGAGCCCTCAGAGGGGAGCTGGATGCTTCAGTCTCAGTGATAGGCAGAGCTGGCATCAGTTGTAGCTGACTCAGAGTGACACTTTAAGCTGCCCTTCTCTGGCCATTTCTACTTTCTGGTCTGAGCCAGAAGTCACAGCTTCCCTAGACCAGGGCTCTTTCAGACTGTGCTCTGTGGAGCCTGGGTAGTCTGGGCCACCCCACTGTCCATTCCAGTAAGAACAGCTCTGCTTTCTGAATGAGATTTGTCTGTACCATGTGGCTGGGTGTGGACTCATGTCCTGGTGTTCCTGTGTCTACCTTGTCTTGCACCATTAGCGCTCTTATGTTGGTGGAGCTCCTGGGTGTCTGGAGTTGAGTCTTGAGGTCATGACTTCAGTCATCTTTGGTCACAATCCCCTGTCCTCTCCCGCCAGAATTATGACCACCATGTTTCCTGGCTCTTTCTCATGTTTCTCAGATGCCCGTGAATCACCGTCGGGCTCAAATAGCCCTGGCGGGAGACTCTGCCTCTCCTTGGCCTCTGCCACCCACCCTAGTCCCGAGGCCCAGGGGTGCTGCTGCCCGAGTCGGCCCTTCTTTTCCCACAGGTGGTAGATGTGGCTCCTGAACTTCTGCGCATCTGCAGCCTCAATCTGGCTGACAACAAGATCCCACCAGGTGAGGGTGGCAGTTGTGGGGCAGGGCTGGAGGGGAGGCAGGGAGCAGCAGGACTGAGGCCTGGGGCAGCTCAGGGTTGGGGACCAGTCCTCCCTGGATCTCTCCCTCTTCACTCTCCACCCAGACACCAAGGCTGCACTGCTGCTGCTCCTGACGTTTTTGGCCAAACAGCACGCTGACAGCTTCCATTCGGCACTGGGCTCACTGCCTGGTGACAAGGCTCAGGAGCTCCAGGCCGTCCTGGGCCTCACCTAGACTGGGGGCTGCAGCCGGGCCAGAGAGAACAGAGCCCACCCAGGCCCCAACACCACCTCTCAGCCCAGTTCCAACTTACACCTTACCAAAGATTCTGACCTCATACCCACTTGGAGTCTCAGCCCTGTTTGCTGCCTTATGGGGGCGTCTCTGGGACTGGATCTGTTATGCTGTGGGACAATCCAAATGGAGCTGTGACATCACTCTGTAATAAAGGTAGTTCATGTTCTGTATGAACAGGAGGGATAGAGATGCATGTTCAGAAATGAGGCAGGCAGGGGCTGGTAAGGCAGAACATAGTTTAATGTAGCCAGTTTCCTGGCAGCTTTATAAGTTGTCTCTAACCACAGTGGAATCGGGGTCCTGGCTGGATCAGAAGGCGCCCGTATGGCTTCTCTTGTTCCACGTGAAGGATCTGCTGCGCCGCAAGCACTGGTCAAGAGGGGAGGAGAGGGCCAGTCAGAGGAAGTCCCTCTAGCAGCATCTGGCCTGTGTGTCCCGTCCCCTCACACATGCACACACACGTGCCCACGCTCACCCAGGAGCAGGTAGAAGACCCGGGCAGCCATCCTGCGGGGGCTGAGAGGCGGTACCAGGCTGCTGAAGTCAGGGGCCCTCTTGGCCTGCAGCTCCAGTGCCACTGCCCTAGGGGGGTCAAGCACAGTTAGCTGATGCCCAGCCCAGGCCCACTGATCGAGGCTCCCCTCCCTGGTACCTGTGCACGGCCTCCAGTGAGAGCATCTCGGGCTCCAGGGGCAGCTCCAAAGGCATCTCCACCGGTACTTCAGGGAGTTCAGGCACCACGGGCAGTGCAGGGACCTCTGGCTGCTCCACCTCAGCCCAGGCCCTAGGAGAACGTGTGAGTCAGGTGGAGCAGGGAAGGTGGCAGCTGTGATGGTGACGAGGGGCATGCCCCTCCTAGCCACTTCCCCACCTGGCCGGGGCTACGGCCCGAGCCCACCGGGCTGGCTGCTTACCAGCGCTCTTCCGGGGGCACGAGGCTGATGCGGGCCTCCTCCTCAGCCGCTTCTAGGGAGAGCTCTGCTGGGGGAGGGGAGGGTCTGAGCAGGTGCTTGGATCTGAGCAGTTGGGACTTTCAGGCCACCTGGTCAAACTGGATGCTGGAGCTGTGCAGTGACTTGTTAACACACCGGGGAGAACTAAGGGAATCAATCTATGCTTCCTTGTTAAACGCTCCCTCTGACGAAAACTGTCAGTAGTGGGGGCACCAGTTTCCCAGGACGGTGGTTAGGGTAGTGGTCTCCACTGTTCCTTCTTCTCCGGGTGCTTACCTGCAGACACCATGAGGGGCCCACTGGGCTCCAGGGCCTCCCTCAGGACCTGGGGATGAGAGAAAGAGCACTGAGACCCCAAGCATTACAGAAGCACCTGGGGCAGGGGTGAGGCAGTCCCAGCCCTGAACCAGCCTTGGCTCCAGAACAGGACACACCCAATCCCATGTCCAGGATCTGGCACTGCTGCTCATGTGGGCAGGAGGCCTGCGGGGGCTCGGGCAAAGCAGACCACTCCAGGAAGAGTGAGGGTGCAGGTACCTCAATGTCACTCGGAGTCTCAGGCTTTCTCCTTTCCTCCTCAGCCACTAGCTCCCTCTCAGCAGCCTCCTCTTCAGGCTCCAGGGGCGGCCTTCGCCGGAGTGCTCTTGGGGGTGGCTGGGCACAATGGGTCCAGAAAGCCAGCAGTTCTGGGGGTAGCCGGCCAGCTGGGGACAAGGGGAAATGAGGTTTGAGGTGTGGAGGAACACCAAGAGCAAGGAATGTGCGTTCAGAGGATCCCACACGCCAGCTCCCACCACTCTTCTTACAGTGGGTCGGGGTTCGAAACAGCTCTCCAGGGCTTGTGATGGTTCGTTCAGGCGGCTGTACCATTGGCTGCAGGGTGGAGAAGGCCAAAGCCCAGTTAGGAGAGAGCACTTGTTGCCCCTTCTCCATCTCTGCAGTGCCTTGTTCCATGGCCTCTGGCCTTTCAACTCTTCCAGGCTCCTGCCCCTGCCTGCTCCACCCATGGCTAAGAGTAGGACTATTTTAACCGGTGCTCATGGGTGTGCTGGGCAGGGTCACTAAAGGAGCATGAAGAGTTGTGCATCTGCAAACCCCCAACCATGCACTTGGGGGATGTTCCCCATGCCTCCCCAGGCGTTTAAAGGCCAGCATGCACCTCCCCAGGCCCTTCCTGCCCCACTCTGGCCGTGGAGCCTGTGTGCACTCACACACTCCCAGCAGTGGGCTCTGATCTGCATTTGTTCCTGGAATTTCTCCCGGGAGATCTGAGTCTCCTTGTCCCAGAACAGTAACCGGCGGCGGCGGCGGCGAGGTGGGCTCCTTGGAGGTGGGGCGACTGGGGGCCTCCTCCGCTGGGTAGAGAGTGGGGGAAGGGGCAAGGCTACCCATTACTCCTTTTCCCGTCATCCTGCTGGGCTGCAAACAGGCCCCACACTCCCGCCCCTAGAGGTGCCCTGGGAAGGGGCTTGGGCAGAGCCTCCTCTGGGAGTGTGTAGCTCCTACCCTGTAGGAGGGTACCCACCTGGGAAGTGCAGGCTGGATAAAAGGGGGTATGATGGGAGCCCCACTTACTAATTTGAACAAAGGCCAGTGTAGCCTAGCAGTGGCCTTGGGCTTGGGGAAGCTGCTATGGGTGAGCAGCTCTGGCAGAGCAGGGCCAAGAGGAGGCACGGCTTGGAAGGGATACTACTCACCTCTGGGCTGACTGGGGGCGGCAGACGCACCTCCAGCGGGGGGGTCACCTCTGCAACAACATTCTAGGTCTCGGCTCTGCCCCACACCCATCATCCTCACAGCCCCCAGGCTATCACCCAGAGGGTCCTCCCAGCAAGTAGGAATACAGGGCCCTTGTCTGCAGCAGGTGTGCAAGTGCCCCCAGGAAGGACCCAGGCATGGCAGGCACTCACCAGGAAGTGGGACCGCAGGCTCCCAGACTGCCAGCTTCAGCTCCTCAGGGGCTGGGACCTCGCTTGGAAGGGGCTCTACTGCCCTTTCCAACCTGAGGGAAAGTGGGCAAGAGAAATGAGGACAGCCCCTCCCAGCACTGACCCCCTTCCCAGCCCCGAGGTTCCAGCCCTTACTCTGCAAGAGCTGTGGGTGAGAGCGGAGGGACTATGGCTTCCGGCTCCAGGGCCCGGGGCTCCTCCTTGGGCTCTGCAGAGATAGGATCAGGGCTCAGAGTGCAGAAGAGAAGAGATGGGAGCACTGCCTGGGCCCAGACTGCCCATGTCAGGGGCCTGACTGTCCAGCGCTAGGCGAGCCCCATGTTGCCAGATAGGCCTACCCTCTAACAAGATAGCTTCGCCTTCCTCAGCAACCAGCAGGTCCAACTCTCGGCGGCTGATCTCTGGGAGGTCCCGTTCACCCTGTTGGGAGAGGAAGAACAAGGACAGCAGACTCAATTCCATTTCTGAAAAAGGCAAGTGGATCCAGGGGACTGGGTCTGCCATGGGCCAGGCAGAGGAAGCCCACTGGGTGCTCAGGCGCCAGGACAGGGAGTAGGGAAATGGAGAAGGAGAAGGCAGGACTCTGGGGACAGAGAAGTGGATGCAGGGGGGCTGGGCCATCAGAAGCAGGACTCAGGCCTCAGGCTCTGTGTGCAGGGGGAGCACTCACTTCAATGGGCAGAATGCGTATGGGCTCCGCCTCCAGGAGGGTGATGGCCTCGGGAGACACCACAGTGACCGGGACCCTTTCTGGAGAGGCAGGGAAGTCACATCAGCCCCTCTGCTGCTTTCCAGTTCCCACACCCATGTGGTGAGGCAAAAGCATGGACTCTGTGGTCAAGTCAGCCTGGGTTCTAGTGAGGCCCAGGCCAGTCTGGCAATCTGACCCCAGATATGTTGCTTAACCACCATGGGCTTCACTTCACTTTCCTCATCTGAAAAACGGGGATGAGAATTCTGATCTCAGGACTCGTTAGGCTGTGATGAGGCTACACACATAAAGTGCCCCTCACAGGGCCTGGCTCCTAAGAGAAGCTCAAAGATGGTTATTTCTTCAGCTCTTGGACCTCCCTATGCCTCTCACCAGAAAGAAGGCTCTCTCTGCTCACCTGGCTTCCTAGGCTCTGGAGGGACTTCAGGAGGGATCTCCTCAAGAACTCTCTCTGGGCTCACAGCCTCTAAGAGATGTCGAATCTTGGGGGAGGGATTGGGGAAAAGATAGGGTTCAGCTTTAGGCCCCCGTTTTCCCACTTTCACCTCCTTATCCAGACAGTGGACGGTAATAGCTCTTTATGTGTAATTCTTGTGGCACTGCCATCAGCATCCATGAACTCACTTGCCATCTGGTCTCCTTTCCTCCCATTCCTGCCCTCAGCCCCCACCCCCAGTTGTAGCCTTTGTCAACTTGTGCAAGAAGCACTGCATCCTTATATCAAGTCTTGTAGGGGACACAGGGAACAGAGACAATTCCTGATCTTAAGGAGCATACGGTCTAGTGGGGAAATAAGTTTGCAAATGACCCCAACAAGAGTCAACACAAAGGATAAAACAAGGCCCTAGTAATGTGCTAAGTTCCAAAACAACATTTGGTTCTGACCGTGAGTGGGATAAAGGCTTCATGGAAAAGGGTAGTGTTTGCTTGAGGTCTTTAAGGATATGTAGGACTTAACTGGTAAAGAGTGAGGGGTGACCATTACAGGTCTGGGAAACAGCACAAGCAAAGAAGTGAATGTGGCATCTTCAGGACACGTGGGTCAGACCAGTGTTTGGAAGCCTAAGATGCCCAGGGGATGTGCTGAGAGACGGCTGGGGATGGCTAGCCCTGGACCACGGCATGGAGGCCCTAAATGCTAGTAGTCTGTTTGCAATGGGAAAACACTGGAGGTGTCTTTGAAGAAAGAATAACGTTGTCTAAGCTGGGGGGTGTTGGGAATGGATGGAGAAGGACATGGGGAGGGAACCCAATGCCAAGGGATGATGAGAGCCTGCATTAGGGCCTCAGCAGTGGGAACAGTGCAGGGATGAGTGGGAACAAGAGCTGCCTCTAAGATGATCCTGAATAGGTAAGCAGGGTGGGCTTGTCTGGATGGTTCCACCGTGACAGTCCCCCTGTACTGACTCCTGTGTGGCTGAGCTGTGGCAGGCCCCCTTCCCCCAGCCCCAGTGTCAGATGGGCACAAGAACAGCACTTCCCTTCTGCACTGTCAACTCATCAGTCTGAGTTTCCTGGGGGAATGAGCTCTACCTGAGGGATCCTGAAGGGGCTAGGAAGTCTGGGATCCACAGACATCATCCCAAAGAAGGGGTCTGGAGCATCTTCCAGGGTCTCCATCATGGTCAGGCGGTTAGGAAGCAGCAGGCTGGGTCTGAGAAACAATGTGGGCTGTCAGGGACTGAGGTTGGGATGGGCTGAGGCTAAGCAGCCAGGCTCCCCACTAAAGGCTGGGTGATCCCAGTTCCACGGGGACACTCACAGCTCAGGCTCCACCATATCAATGCGGATCTGCAGCTGGGCACGGTGCAGGCGCTCGAGGATGTGCTGGATGTCCTCTGTGGGCAGGGAGGGCAAGGTAGAGAGCCAGCCTAGCTGAATCCCACTCAGTTCTGCCCGCTTCAGAGCCCTCCCAGCCTTACCTACGAGGTACTGGCATTGTTGAAAGTAGACCCGGATCACGCCGATCTGGAGCTGGGCTGAGAGGTAGAGGGAGAAGCGGGGCCGCGGCAGGCCGGGCTGCGGGGGCTGCACTCGGACCAGCACATAATTGAGGATTTCCTCGCTGGAGGAACAACGTGCCCTGATCACTGCTGCGCCAAGGACGGGCCCCACAAGGACCCGCGCCAAAAACTACCCACCGCAATCCATCCCCTAACCCACCCAGGCACCAGGCCACGCCTCCCTTTTCTGAGCCTTACCACGTCTTCACCACGTTCACCTTCAGGTATTCGCGCTTCACCAACCGGCTGCCGCGCGTCGCAGCCAGCCTGAAGGGGGTGAGCGGATGGGGTTGGAAGGCGTGCGTTGCACTGGGATTTCTGGCCGCCACTCCCCGCGCCCACCCGTCTCAGCCGGCCCTTACCAGATGGTGGCGAAGCAGCCGGTGTGGCGCTGAAGCACGCTGGGATAGTAGAACATCGTTCCTTGGGAGGTTCACCTTCGTCTCTACCACTCCGTGTGGATCTCAATTCGAATTCTTTAGGCACAGGATTTCCCAACACCGAGGGAGATAAGTAAGGATTTGGACAGGTGGGGGCGGGTGGACGTGGAATGCTAAGTAAAAGAACTGATAAACAGTTGGTGGATAAACGATGAGGGGAGACGTGAATGGAGGTGCAGATGGGACGGAGTTGGGACGCCCCTCTCTGTCGGCCCTGAGTGGGTTTGCGCGCCGCGTGGGTGCTTCGAACTTACTGGAGCCTTCCGGGTTGGGTTCCAGGTTGGAGATGCAGAGCTCTGGAGGGAGGCCCGGGCTGTGACCCAGACGAGGTGCCAAGGGAGAACGGACGTCCTCTGCAGAGATGCCGGGCTCCCGGACCTTTGCCCTCAGCTTGGGCCCCTGCAGCTCCGGCCGGGTCGCCCTCCCGCGGGACTGGATCCCGCCGCAGGGAGCGCGCGCTTGGGTGCTTTGCGCCTCGCTGCTCGTTAGATGGCGGCGGCCCACAGAACAGCCAATGAGGACTGGGGGTCGGCGTGGGAGCGCTCGTTCCGGGGCGCCAAGGAGGCTGCCTGCGTTCGAGGCCACAGGGGTCTCCCGAGGCCGCAGCCAGCCAATGGGAAGAACCTTGCGCGCTGCAGGGGCCATTGTGAGGTGTCCTGACCAATGGGCTCTCGTTCTCGCCCCTGGGACCGAGGGTTCCTCGGCGGCGCTTTTCTGCCTACCAATGAGCGGGGAGCAAACCCCAGCCTCCCCCCCTGCAGCGAGCCTGGTAACAAGGGCGCTGCAACCAGCAGGCAAGGTCGGGTCATGCCGAGGGCAACCGCCCGGGCCCTGTTCGGACGTCTGACCTGCGGTTGGACCCTGCCCTTTCCCTCAAATCCCGCCAAGTAGCAATTGATTGACTGTGCCCAGCCTCAGGCCCATCGTGAGCTGGGAGGTAGAAACATGAGAGGTGGCCTTGGAGCCGCCGCAGGTCGCTGGGGAAGTCAGATCTCACAGGAAGCCGGGTCATTTCCTTACACTTCAGCAGTTTTCCTGACCTTGAGCAATTTAGGTTGTGGGCATCCGTCATCTGGCTGTTTTCCAGTCGTGAATATTCTCCCCGCTGAAACAGGCTCTAGCTTCGTTGGATGCAGGGCACACTTCTCAGCATACAAAAGCCACTTGTCTCAAACCGTTCTTTGTGTAAAATTAAGCAGTGCGTTGTAGTTACAAATATCTCTTGTCCCCAGGCCTCCTGCCTTTGCACAGCCATTTCTTTGGCCTAAAATACCCTTCCCAGCCTCAACTCCAGGGTGTGTTTCTGGCTCTTTACAACTGGGCTCTTCTTGGAGCTGAGCTGACCCTATTTTATCTTGTTCCTTCAGTCTGGGAGCTCTTGAGTTTGGGGTCTTGTTTTTTCACTTAGTGCCTGGAATCCAGCTCAGTAAGTAGTTGTCAAATAAATATGCAATTGCCCTAAACTTAAAACCACAGAATGTCAAGGCTGGAATGGATTTCATAGTCCAAGCCTTGTCTTTACAGCTGAGAAAACAGAGGCCCATAGAGACTGTTTCTCCCAGCCCTCACAGCTCCTTAGTGACAGCCTGCTCTCTGAATTTTAGTGTCCCCATTCCCTATTCCAGTGTGCTTCGCTAAAGTGGTGTCTCTATGGTACTTATAAACTGTTTTAATCACTGTACATCTGTTGTCAGTGTTCCTAAGTGTTCACACTGGGGCACAAACATGATAAAGTGGGGGCACCCGCTCTAAAGGTGCTTAGAATCTACTTTAGGAGATCAGCATGGGCCACAGTCATTTGTTCATTCACCCATCACCCATTCACCCAGTATTTATTCCATGCCTACTACGTGGCAGTCTCTCCTCTAGGCACTATGGATATAGCATGAACAAAACAAGTCCCTGTTCTCATGGAGTAGGGAGGGAGAGATGATAAAAAAGTAGACACATAGAAATATGTGAAGTGGTGATCAGTGCTATGAAGAAAAATGAGGCAGCAGAGGAGAACAGAGTATTTTAGACAAAAGAACCAGCAAGTGCAAAGGTCCTGAGGCAGAAATGTGTTTGGTGGGTTCAAGGAGCCTAGAGCAAAGTGACTGAGGAGAAAAATGGCAAGGGGTGAGGTTAGAGAGGGAGATGGGGCCCTATCACAAGGACCTTGGAGGCCACTGTAAGGGTTTGGGCTTTTACCCTGAGTTGAGAGCCAATGGAAGATTTTGAGCAGAGGAGTGAGTTGGTGAGATTTGTGTGTTAAGCGGATCTCTACCGTACTGAGAGTAGGTTGAAGGTCAACAAGAGGAGAAGCAGAAAAGAAGCTGTGGAAGGAAGCAGGAAGAAGAAGTGTGAGAGATGACGGTGGCGTGTTCCAAAGTGGTGGTGGTGGAAACAGAGAGAAGGAGTCAGATTCTGGAAAGATTTTGAAGGAATAGCGAAGGGATTTGCTGATGGGCTGGGTAGGGGGTGTGAGAGAAAATAGAAGTGAAGGGGGTAGCAGGTACAAAGAAGGTCCAGGAGGGCTTTCAGCAAATCGAGTACCTGATTTCCTCACTACTAGTGAGGACGCCTGTTTAAGCTCATGGCTTTGCAGGAGGAGGATGGGCAAGACTGAAGAGAAGGCAGGTCCAAGGAGGCCGAAGGGCTCAAAAGCAGCGCTCAAGTGTGTCAAGTGAGTCAGCAAGAAGATGCTCGAGGATCTGGATTTGATCACGGAGGTGAGCAACTCTTCCCTCTGATTTCCCCTCCCTTGCCAGGCCCCAGGGCCTCCAGCCCCTAGTTTCAGGTCAACTTCAAAGTTCTCCTGTCCCTTTAGATGCCCAGGCCAGAGTCTGACCCCAGGCCTGCTGTGAAGGCCCGAATCAGAGGCCTCTACCCAAGAACTGTGGAGCCCGACTTTCCCATGCGAAGTTGGTGGCTATGATGGCTGTGGGCTCAGTGCCCGTCCTGGTGGCTGACCCTGACCCTCTCCCTAATCCTGGGTGCCTCGAGGGTACAGAGAGCCAGGCCCAGAACCCAGAGCCCAGACAGCTTCCCCACTAGAGCCTCTGGGTGGAGGAGAGGAAAGCGGCCCAGAGACGCCAGCAGGAAGAGAACCCAAGTGCTCTCACAACTTAACACCGCCCTGCAACCCTGCCACCTTCTTCTCCCAACAAATCGGATACTGATCCTTTTTTCAATGAAATTTTATTTCAAATCCTTAGTGAACATCTAAGAAGAAAATATAAAGTGCTTGGTTCTGGGGTTGGGGAAGAGGGAAAGGCCCTGAGTTCACCCCATTTGGACTTTCCCAGTTCAATTCCTCAGAGATAGACAGTGTATTTCAAAATTAAAAAAAACAAGGATAAAAATCATCCTTGAGTTCCCCACTAGCCAGGGTACACGAGGAGTTCGAGGACGCAATCATCACAGACAACCATGGAGAACTAGCACTGAGGGAGGCCGGTCGCCAACGTGGAGAAGGAATCTCTTTCAAAGGAGACAGGAGAGCAGAGAGGGGAGGAGGACGGCGGGCTCCCCAGGCTCTGCACCAAGGACAGAATGGCTGCCTGCTCCTCTGGAGTCTCCTCCAGTAAATGTCGGGCAAAGGCCTGCTCCATCTGCGCCAGAAGAGGTGGGGAGAAGGGACCGTGAGCACAGCAGGCGGGCTCTGCCCCCAGGAGCCCCTCCCCTGGGACCGCCCTGCTCCTCCTGGAACCCCACCCCCACCCCCATAGGAGGCTATTCTGCTCCTACCCCAAACTCACCTGCACTGTGATCAGACTCTTTGGGGTGTGGCTGCGGTCAGGGCTCTCCTCCCAGAAATTCAGTGTTACTCGGAACTTGGGTGGGGGGCCCAGGCCCTGGAAGTACCTGGCCAAGTCTGAAAGAGAAAGGGTCAAGACTTGGAAGAAAGAAAAAAGAAGAGAGAGGGCCACAGGCAGGGAGGAGACAGGGAGGAACCCATAGCAGAGAAAGACAGGTGGGCGCGGGGCCACTTGGAGACCAAGGCCAGAGCAGGAGCTGCAGGGTTGCGAGGCTGTTGCCTTGCTCCAGAAATGCTAGGAACTAAGCTGCTACTCCTCCATTTGCAAAGAGGAAAAGGTGCCCCTTCCTGGGGTAAGAAGTATTTAGAGGAGGCCAAGGAACACACAGCCCGACAAGCTCTCTGCTGGGCGAGGGTAGAGTCCCCGCAACAGCAGCCCTGGCTGCTAACCAAGATGTGCCCACACCCTTGTCTGCTCGTACCCTCCCTACGGAGGCATCTATGGCTCTGGGGACACACACACTCGGGTCCCCTTTACTTCTGGCTGCCACACCCAAGGTGAGAGTTAGAGTTGAATAGAGGCAGGAAGTGGAATTCCAAGCATGGATGGGAGGGGGGCAAACTGAGGGGATGCCTGGAGTGTGGTAGGGCCATGCGTTGTGACGTGTGCCAGCTCGCCCGAATGTGTGGATGGTCATGGGTGCAAGTGTGTATGTGGGAGAAGGCCACGGGGCGCACCCTCCCATGATGATTGTACACTTCCACATGATGGTGCTCCCCGAGATGTGACACTCTGGAGCCCATCTTCGGTGGCCTTGGCTGGGGAAGGAGGGCTGCCAGGGCTGAGCGCAGGGCTCCACAGGATGCTCTGCACAGGCTGTGAGGGAGGACCTGCTGGAGGGAGCACAGGGGGCTGGCAGGTCCTACCAAGTCGAGCCCAGCGGGGACTAAAGGGTAGGGACAGGGGCTCAGGGCCTGGAGCAGTCTCACCTCTACAGAAGTGGGTGGTTCTGAAGAGCTCCACGCACTTATTGCTGGGCAGGAGATGCGGGCCTGGACCAGGAGGGGTCCTGGGTGCGTTCCAGGAGATGGGGATGGGGCAAAGGCGTTGCACGAAGAGGCCTCGGGAGTTACTGGCCACCAGGACGCCTCTCTCGAGCTGGCTCAGCAGGCGCTGGGTGGGCTCTTGCGGGCCAGGCTTGGGAAATACTACCTGCTCCATGCCATACTGGGAGCCTGAGGGCTCAGCCACGAGGCGGCAGTCCAGGCTCTGCACCTGGGCCTCACCCACCACGCGCCCATCGTAGATGAAGGTGAGCAGCAGCGAGTAGTCTGTGGCCATCTGCACCAGTGCCTCTCCCCAGGGGTCCACCTGGTCAGCACAAGGCTCTGGGGAAACAAAAAGGGGCTCCTTGCAAATCCAGTGTCTTTATTTTGCTGATGAGGGGTGTGAGACCCAGAGAGGGAAACCAAGCCAGGCCTGGGAAGAACAAGGCAGGCTGTGGGGTGGGGACAGCAGCTGTACCTTCTGAGGTTAGAAAAGATACCCTCCCTCCTCATCCTCACCCCCCAACCCTCACCAGCCAGGGGGCTTCCTGTCAGACTTTCCCATCACTCAGGAGAGTATCTAATACAGAAATTCCCACTGAGGGCTCAGGGCTTAATGCCCCGGTCTTACAGCTGACAAGAAGGTCCCAGAGATTGGGCCTTTGCTTAACCCACAGAACTCAGTGTTTCAAAGTGGATTTCCAGGGGACAGAGTATGCAGGGGTTTTTTTGTTTTTTTTTGGTGAGGAAGGTTGTCACTGAGCTAACATCTGTGCCAATCTTCCTCTATTTTATGGGGGACACCACCACCGAGTGGCTTGATGAGTGGTATGTAGGTCCATACCTGGGATCTGAACCTGTGAACCCCGGGCCGCCGGAGTAGAGTGCGCAAACTTAACCACTAAGCCACCAGGCTGGCCCCTGTAGTGGGTATTTTTGAGAAGCAAACTGTTTGGAGTCTGGAGTCTGGCCAGGTGCCTCTGTCCCGGGAAGGTGGGCCCAGCTTGTGGCAAGCCCTGACAGATTAGATAATGCATGCATAGCCACAGGAAGATGACCTGGGGGCACAGGGAGCAGGGATGAGTCAGAAACACCACCTGAGTCTGGAGAGGAGAGAAGCTCCAGGGACCCCTGATCTCCTTGGACAGGGGCCTCAGTTTTGTCTGTACCTGGAAGGGGAGCAGAGGCATGTCGTTCAGACTGGGACTGGGAAGTCCAAGGACCAGAGAGTGTGGCATGGGATGACACACAAAGCAGGGGAGGTGGTACCTTCCTGAGGCTCAGGGCTGTTGCTGCTGCTGCTGCTCCCGAAGTCTGAATGGCCCGAATCCCCATTGGCCACTACCTCCTCCTGCAGACACAGGGACTATCATTGGCCACCTCTCCCCCTAGTTACTGGCCTGCCCTCAGGCCCACCCAGCTCTCTCCCCAGCTCTTACATTCTTGAGGGGGTCCTGGGGCAAGGAGGGACTGAGTATGCAGTTCTTCCTGGCACCCCCATCCTCCTCCCTCTCAGAGGACACAGAACTGTGGTGTCGCTTTGATGGTGATTTCTGGGTCCCTGGCTGGGCTGTAGAATATTGTTCAGGGGGAGAGAAAGGTCAGAGCCTTAAGTGGGGACAGGAGGTAGGGGAAGGAGAGGAGGCAGTAAAAAGATGGGCAGGACTGGACAGGGGACCCTCGGGAGCCGCTCCCCGTGGACAGGGATAGGGTGGAACTCTGACCAAGGTTGTGGAGTGGGCCCACCTCCTCCCAGCAGGCTCTGATCTCCAACCTTCCTCCCTAGTCTGCTGATTCTAGGAGTAGTTGGGCAAGGGGACACTCACCAGGAAGGGTTCCTGGTGGCAGCAGCCGATACACCTTGTAGGGCTCAGCCCCATCCCGATGGCCATTCTCAGGAACCTCCTCAAATTCAAGACTCTTGTTGAGAGCACAGCGCAGACGGGTCTTCCAGATAGCAGGGCCTTCTGTGTCCCCTTCCTTGTACTTCCCCTTAAATATCGCCCAGGCCTAGGAGAAAGAGGGAGTGGAGAAGGGGCGTCACAGACCCCGGCTGACCCTCCACCAGGGCCAGCTTCGCGGACATGCGGCCTGAGCACTCACACAGCCTGGGATAGGTCTATGCTCCGCTGTTGCCGTCTTGAAATCCTTAATTTTTGCATTTTCATTTTATACTGGGCTCTGATAATTACATAGCTGGTTCTACCCTCCAATTCCCCTTAATTTAAAACCCAGGCAGACGAAACCCCTCGAGGGCAAGAGCGCCAGTGCAAACTCCATCCTCACTCGGAGGGAGGGGCTGGTTCCCAGGCCCTTTCACCTTGAAGAAGGCGGCATCCTGGTCCTCCCTGAAGTCCTGCTTGCCTGCGTGCTTCCAGGGAATCCGGAACATGGTCTTAGCGGCATCATCCCAGCACACCCCTGGGAACTGCCCACTTTCCACTTGCTCTACCACCCAGTTCCGGAGCTTTCTGGTGCAGCGTGCCCTGCCGGATGCCATCCTGGGGAGGAGAGCAGCAGGAAGCATCAATAGAAATGACACTTTGGGAGGGCACATCTGCTGAGATCCTGGCCATGGGGGTTGGATTCTGGCAAGGCCCCCAGAAATCCCATTCATCCTTTGCCTCCAGACATAGCTCAAAATTCTCTGAGGCTGAACTGTTTCTGCCATTACTAGTGATTACAAAAAATACATTCTTTTTAACATCTGGAGATGTGACATCTGGAAGGAAACCTTAGACCTTGGTCTTAATTTTAAGACTTTTTGGGAATCTATCATTTTGTTGTTCTGTTCCTGGTAAGAGGCCTGTCTAGATTCCCCAAGCATTTGCAGAGGCTGTGTCTGTTCTGAGATGGCTCATCAACCCACCCCCCGCCCCATCTCCCCCATCCTTTAACCCCTTAACCCCCATTCCTCCCCTCTGCTTGCCCCAGGGGTAGGTCGGGTAGGGAGCTGGGGGCAGGGGGTGGAGCTGCAGGGAAGTGGGCAGGGCCAGAAGGCAAGACAACAAACAGGGCCACCTGGAGCAAGGGCAGAGCCTTCTTCCCTGAACAACCTGACAGCTCGTCCTCCTGTCCTTTGCCGATAGCGCTCCGGTCACTGGCCCCTGGTCAGTCTCTCACTCGGGCCAAACCTCCTGCTTCCTAGCTCACAGGCCTGCTGTTTATTCCTCAGTCTAGCAGGGTCCCCTGGGAGTCCCTGCTCCCACTTCCAATCCTGCCCTAGACCCAGGCTGACACCCGTTCTTAGCTGATCTTACCTGAGCTGCTGTGCCGGCTGTCCCAGGGCTCTGCTGACCTCAGCTCGGCTCCTGGCTGGGCAGCTTCCTGATCTCTCCGCCCCTTTCTACAGTCCCCACCCTAAGTTTCACTTCTACTCCCCCGAGGTCCTTTTCCCAGAAATCACGTGGTCCCGAGTTGCAGGGCAACCAGTCACCACCAGAGGGAAGCAGCATCTGAGAATCTTGCTGTGAAGATGCAGGAGGGCCCCGCCCTACCCAGGCTCATTCCCCATCCGCCCTCAGATAGATACTCCTTGCTTGTATCTTATCATCTGTGACACTACTGCTTCCCCAGGGAGGCCACAGTGTCCTGGAGTCTGGCCTGGGACCTCTGGATAGCTCTGTATCCCCTGTGCATCTGTGTTCTCCCACAGTGCCTGCTTAGTGCCTATTAGGTGTCCTCAAATATCAGCTGAATTTGATGAAAGGAAGGGAGACTGGGAAGAAGGAAGCCCGAGATGGGGCTGGCTGGGCAGGGCCTCCCTCGGGCATCCATGGTGTCAATTCCTTCCCGGCCCAAAGTCCAAGGAGGGTTATGCGGTGGGCTGCAGGGGCCCCTTTCAGTAAAGCTCTGTTCACCCCCCTTTCCCTGCTGCCCCTAGATGGTGGGGCCAGGAAGAAGGACCACTAAGAAGCCTGGGCAAGGAGATGCTTCTTTATTGGTGCTGGAGCTGTTCCTGAGGGAGTCGGGCCATGGGACCCTCATCACGACCCTCGCCCTCAGCTACTTCCTCCTGCGGGGGATACTCTGTCCCAGGGGCACGTCTTCCATCAGCTTCTGCAGAAGGAGAGAGAAGATGATGACACTGGAAGCCTGGAGCTCAGACACAGGCTGGACAGGGGACTTGTAGAGCATGGGGTCAGAGGTGAGGCTCGAGGGAGACTTCACCTGTAACAAGCGGGTGTGGTAGGCGGGGGTGTCCTCCCCAGCCAGCGGCTGGGGGCGCATGTGCAGGTAGCGCTCGGCAGCCGTCTCCAGCTCCTCCACCTCATACAGGGTGGCTGGGTCCAGCGAGTGGGCATTGATGAGGCTCACAAGATACTCTTTGTAGTGTGCCCTGGGGAGATGAGAGGGCAGAATATTTGTTCTTCTGTTCAGCTAATATTAACTGAGTGTTCCCAGCACCTTGCTGGGCACTGGCATACTTGGACAAACAAGATTGACAACCCTCGCCTGTTGTACTTGTAGGTACTGTCAACCTGGGCACCCTGCCTGCTACTACCTATCCATGCCCTTGCCCAGAAAGCACCCTCCCTCTCCCTCCCGGAGACCCAATTAACTGCCTGGCATTCCCCCAGCGCTCCTGTCCTCCTCCCTGAAACCATGCTCCATGCCCTGGCTGGCACTCACTGGCAGAGGCCGGCATAGCCAGCGGGCGTCTCCTTGCCACAAGCTTCGTCCCGGAGCCCATTGGGAACCTCCTTCTGCTCCATCACTCGGCAGCCACCTAAGTGTAAGGGAAGGAAGGGACCCTTTGATGGGAGGAGACTACTGACCGCAAAGCTCCAGGAGAACTGGGATATCGATGGGGGCATGGGAGGCAGCCTCCAGGGAAGGGACCGAGGACAGGAGCCCCTGCTCTGACAGCCGGGGTCCTTACAGATGCCATCACAGCAGACCAATTCTGACACAGGCAGGGACCTTGCTGTCCATGCTTTCATGCGAGCTGCTTTTGGCTCACAATCACATAGTCCCCTAAGATGGCTCTTTTGGTTGGGGTTTAGCTCTTGCATACTTAATTTATTCTGTGAACGTCTTACTCCATCTAGATGGCACAAAGCAGGGAGCCATAGGTAACAGCTGCCTGTTGCCCCCATGGAACTTCAGATAGTGCAACTCTCAAGTCTCATTAAATAGTCCTTGAGGTAACTAATAATCACTATTGTTTGGAAATGGGAGAAGAAAATGAATATGGAGGTCCCAAGGGCTTTAATGTGGCTTTATGTAAAAGAGCTTAGCTGCAAGGTGGCTATTACCCCGATTTTACAGAGGAAGAAACAAGACCCAGGAGGTTAATTAACCCGCCCAAGGGCACACAACAAGTAGGCACAGGATGGCTCTGAACCCAGGTCTGAACCCAGACCAAAGCCTCCTCTTGACCCGCCACACAGTGGGAGCCCAGCCCACCATCCCTTCTCCAAGGCTTGTCCCGACACTCACCTCCAGGGACCGCCCGGGCGCCTGCTGGGGGCTCTGTGTTGAACATGACGTTATTGTCCTGAGGAGGGGCAGACAGATGGGCGTTAGGATCCCCTGCATGTCAGCCCGCCGATTCCCCAGCACACAGCCTTTCCCTTCCTGCCACCCTGGGCCCTGCCTCCTCTCCTGGACAACCTGCAAACCCAGCCAGCTGGCCACCCCTGACCTGTAGCAGCTTCTGGAGCCGGAGAGCAGTCCAGTCCCGCAGGTAGAAGAGGCAGTCTCGGGGGTGGTGGCCGTGCAGGGACTTTTTCACCCGGCAGTTAGGGTCTGGACATTTCTGGTGGAAACCCAGATGAGAGGGGAAGTTGGAGACTGTTGGGGTCCTGGCCTCTCAGGAACCCCTGTGTGAGGGGTGTAGGGGTCGGGGGAGACGGAGACACTGGAGGGTCTGGAGCAAGCAGAGGGGTAAAAGGGACAGAGGGAGGTGCTTTACACCCTACTGGCCTCCTCTTCTCTTCCCCTGGGCCGCATCTTAGTGGCCTCTGCCCCTCACACCCGATGGCAGCCCCCACCCTTTTATCCCTTCAACCCCATTCTCTGGGCTCACATTCTTGGCGTAAAAGGCATTGTAGCAGCCACTGCAGAACTCGTGGCGGCACTGGGTGCAGTGAAAGTGCATGCAGCCTCCTCGGGCCAGTGCGTACGAGAACTTGCACTTGGGGCAATCTGCAAGGGACAGCAGGTCAGGGCTGGGGCTGCCACTGCTCCTCGAGGCCCTCAGGAGCAGTGGGGCAGCCTTACCAATGCCATTTTCCTGAAGATACATTGCCAAGCCCTGGGCCTGGTATTCTGGGTCATTGTTGCGTTTCCAGTTCTGGAAATCCTCGCAGCTCCGGCCTCGGTGCTGCTCCTCCCACTGCCAGAAGGAAAGCGAGCTTCACGAGCAAGCTCCATCCCAGGCTCTTCTTGCTAGTCCCTCACTCATATCCAGTGGTCACTGGCTTAGTCTATGGCACTGTCATCCACTGTTGGCTTCAAGCCCACAGGGAGCAGCCAGCCTTGGTTCTTTCATTTCCTCTTAGCACTCCATATTCACCAGCAAGTCTTGCTTCCACCACCCGAGCCTATCTCAACCCTGCCCTGTTTCTTCCTCCCTACCATGACCACCTTACTCCGGGCTGCTCAGGCCTTGCCTCAGTTACTAGTCTCTCAGCCTCCACTCCTGCTCCCTTCTCCACCTGGCAACCGAAGTGCCTTTGAAAGTATAAGTCGGGCAGCTTCAACAGTATTGGGAGCGTTCTAGATTTAAAGTTTGGTGGGAGGGTCTCAGGTGTTCATCTTATTGTGTTTCACAATACAGATGCAACTTTTTGGTATCAAATATTAAGCTTTTTAAAGGTAACTGAGATAGTATCACCCCTTGCTTAGCCTTAGAATGAAAGGCAAATACCTTCCTCCCGCGGCCTCACGGCCTCTCCTGCTCTGGCAGCTAGCTCCTCTCCCACGCCTGCCACTCTCAGCCTTGCTCTTGAGGCTCCAGCCACACAACTCTTTTTTATGACTTTGGCCTTTCCATGTGTTGTTCTTTCTGTCCCGAATACTCTTTGCATAGTTGGCTTCTTCTTAACTTTCAGGCCTGAGCTTAAATTAAACCATTTTAGAGAAGACTTGTCTGACTTCTCTATCCTAAGTAGGTCCATTCCATTATTTCTAATCTCAGATTCCTATTTGTTTTCTTCATAGAACTTATGCATGAAACTGTGCTCTTTCCCTCCCTCCTTTCCTGCCTCCCTCATACTCCCTCCTTCCTTTCCTCCATTCCCTCTCACTGTTCCTTTCTCCTTTATCTTACCTTTCACTCCTCCTCCCCCTTCATGCTTCCTCCCCCTCCTGCCTTTATCCCCTCTCTTCCCTCATCCCTCCTTCCTCCTCCCCCTCTTCATTCTTCCTCCACCCTCATCCTCCCTCCTTTATCCTTCTTCCCCATTCCTCTTTCCTCCTCCCTGCCTCACCCTTCCTCCCCATCCTTTTCCCTCTTCCCACCATCCTTTCTGCCCATCCTTCCTCCTCCATTCTTCATCCCTCCTCCCCATCCCTCCTCACCTCATCCTTCCTCCCTCATCCTTCACCACTCATTTCCTCATCCTTCTACCCACCTTCATCCTTCCTCCCTCCTTCATCCTTCCTCCATCTTCCTCCCTCCCTCCCTGACTAGTCTGTAAGCTCTTTGGGCCCAGAGCTGAGTCTAACCCAGTACCTGCCAGTAGTTCAGCAAGTATTTCTCAAAGGATGGATGTGCCTCACCTGGCGCTTACAGCGCACACAGAAGGTCTGGTGACACTGGGGACAAGTTGCCTCCAGCTGCTCACGCTCGTATATGAAGCCAAAGGAGCACTGTGGGTGCAAGAGCATAAAGCTATATGAGGCCTAATCTGGCACCACCCCCTGCCCCTCCAGTCAGCTCCTCTGGGCAGACCACTTACCTGGGCACACCACAGGAACTTGGGGTCCCGCATGAGCACACCCTCAGTCAGCTTCTTGTGGAACAGCGCATAGGCATCTGGCTCTAGGCTCTCTCGAAGCTGTGAACAGGATGCACAAGTGGTGGGTGGGCAGGGTTCCTGTTCAAAGCCCAAGGTGCCCTGAGTCCTAGAGCTGCAGTACCTGGATGTCAAGGGTGGAGAAGTAGCTGAGCAACTGCGTGTCATCGGTGAGGTCGGGGCGGCCACAGGCGGGGCACACCATGTCTGTGATGTGCTTCTCTTTCAAGGCGATGGTGAAGTGCTGACGGAAGCAGTCGGGACAGATGGTGCACTCACAGGAGGTCAGGGCCTGCATCTGTGGGCGGGAGGCGGGGGGGGTGTCAGGAGCCACAGCTGCCAGCCAGAGGAAGGAGCAGTAGCCAGGTGTCTGCTGAGAGCCAGGGTCTAATTGACACCTGGGCAGGGGTAGCAACCTCAAATGCCAACAAATGCCAGGCAG